TTGGTGAATATTTTCCAATGACTTTTGTCGATGAATATCATTCTCTTCAAGATATCAGCAGATGTATTATGTTGGAAAGTTTGAAACACCATCAAAAGAACATTTTTTGAACCAACCCTAAGACTAGTGTTTTCCATTCTATCTATATTTACCAACAGGTCGGTTAGCTAATGTATTAAATCATCTAATTGTTATGATGTCATATTATCACCTAAAATTCCTAGTTGGATATCAATTATTTGAATTAGTCATAATTAAATAAGTCGTTATTTATAATAATTACATATATGCACATGTTTTAGATGTATACACACAGAATTATATTGAGATTTGTTTATATCAATTTACTGTAAGAACTGAAATAAACAAAATGACTGAACTATATGAACTAATGCTTACTAATTTAACTCATATGTAAGTCAAAATTCAGCATTACTCTACTAGCAATTTCTAGTTACAATAATAATTAAAACAAAAACAAGTACAAATATGATATCTTTTTCATTATCTTTTAACGATCAATACTTTACTGCCAACCTAGAATAGTAACAGACCAATTAATGTTTAAATCTATGCTTAATTCAACAGTGAATTATCGTGTAGAATTGATATTGATGGTTTTTAAAAAAAATCACTCAATCTTTTGACAAGAGTAAAACAACTGACAATATCGATTGATCAACTGTAAACCACATATAGCGTCTATTTATATTTAATGAAAACAGTATATGAAATAAACGATAATATTCAACCATAAACAAAACAATCATCTCAAACATTATAACTAAGGAATTTGACTGTAATTGAGATCGATGAATTATAAAGCGTGGAATTCATTGGTTCACTACTTTGAATCATAAACTGAAGATTTATCTTATCGCTAAGATAAGAAAACAATATTATTGTTGTCTTTAAGCCCATTTAATTATCACATGACTAGTCTGTCAATCGGAACACGACTTATACAATCTTAGTAATGTGCCGAAACAATGACGTTCGATAGGTATGAACAGTCTAGAATCCTTATTGATCCTTTAGTTTGCCTAGCTCGTCCAGTTGAGACCAGAACGACAATATGCAAATCATTTATTCCAACTATCTTATTTTACCAACTAAACTCTACTCATTTTATTCCTAACAAGGTTTATTTGTTTCTAACCGTTTTAACTGTTGTCACAATGTTCTTTCATCACATAAGGTATATATTTACAATATTCAGTCTATTAAATTTATTTACACCCTTGCTATACTATATGAATATGTATTTAATATAACTTCCAATCAAACTCGTTTATGTAAGTAATTTAAACCCATTAATTACGATTTTAAATATCACAGGTTGTAAGCAGCTGACGAGAACCAACGAAATAGAAATGAATTCATGCTATTCTGCTAGAATGTTTGTTCTTGCTCTTTCCAAAATTTCAAACATATTTGGTTTACATTATCAGCCGAACAGACCACATCACATCATAAAATAGGAAATAAAATTCATACAATATCAAAACAAAAAATGACTGTGAACGTGAGAGACTGTAATTAATAAACTGGGTCAAAATAAAGCTTATAATAAAAGGAATATAGATATACGGAATCTAGTTACTGACTAGTTATACAATAAGAATATACGTATAATATTAGTCCATAAATAGTTCTCAAAAGTTACTTATAATTTAATCTTCATTAGAGGATGTAACAATTATCAAATGTGAAATAATGAGCAAGAACTTTATAGATTGGAGTGAAAATGACATACATAATTGATTTCTTTCAAACTGTCTAATGACATGTTTCACATATTAAAAAGGAGTAATTATGTAATTAAGTAAATTAAAAACATTAGATTTTATGTTCATACAATAAGTTATCGATTGACTAATCTCATGTACTACATAATTCATATAAATCTAACTGTGTATTCAGATATCATTTTCATTTATTTTTTGTGTCAAATAATCCCGCATCTATCATCCTTATGTTCTTCACATGTGCCGTGTGATTCCCAAGTTCCACAATAGCGAGTACTAGATTTCCTAATTTTATGAATGACTCCACCTGGAGCCTCTCTGGGGCTACTTCCGGTCCCAAGCCTGGATAAAGGAGGAGGGTTGGATATAGGGTTAGGGACCCCATCCTATAGAAAACTAACTCGCTAAAAACGCTAGCCAAAAAATAATTCAGACCATTTAAACTCTGCCCTGGAAGTTAGAATATCTTCTTTTGAAGAGTTATGACGTTTCATGATGAAAACTGAGTTCCTTTGGAAGTCACGATGCTGATGCCCCTTCTGACAACCAGAGCAACCATTAATTAAATACATGGAATGTTCGTACAATGTGGGAGACCGGGATAGTCTTCCAAATTGCTGCAGAAATGAGGAGATACAACCTGGAGGTGCTTGGGACCAGTGAAACACGTTGGATGCAGGTTGGATAACAATGACTATCTTCAGGAGAGCTACTGTTATACTCCGGCCATGGAGAAGTAAATGTTCCATATACACAGAGTTTCACTGATTCTATCCAAAAAAAGCACTTATATGATGGGAATCTCATGGACCAAGGATCATCAAAGCCTCCTTCAAAACAACGAAAGAGGAAATTACAATGAACGTCATCCAATGCTATGTGCCTACCAAAGATTACAATGAAGATGTTAAAAATCAGTTCTATGATAGGCTTTAGTCAATCGTTGAGAAATGCCCAAAAAAGGACTTGGCCATTCTGATGGGAGAACTAAATGCTAAGGTTGGAATGGAAAACACCGGATATGAAGACGTCATGGGACGACATGAACTGGAAGAAAGAAACGAAAATAGTGAGAGATTTGTAAACCCATATGCCTTCAACAAACTGATCATAGGCAGAACCATATTCCCACATATACACATACACAAAACCATACGGATTTCACCGGATCACACTACGCAGAACCAAATCGACCATATCTGCATCAACGAAAAGTTCAGAAGGACGATGGATGATGTGAGAACCAAGATAGGAGCTGATATAACCTCAGATCATCGCTTGCTAGTCGCCAAGATGAGACTGAAACTCAAGAAGAACTGGACAACGGGGAGGACATCACAAAAGTTTGATACAGCTTTTCTTCGGGATACTGACAAACTCAGCCCTCAGCAATAGGTTTCTGGCCTTTCACGACCTACTCAATGGAGAGGGAACTACTATGGAGAGCAACTGAAAGGGGATCAAAGAGGCAATCACTTCAACATGTCATGAGGTTCTGGGCCACAAGAAGCACCATCACAAGGTATGGATCACTGTTAATACACTGGAAAAGATTCAAGAAAGAAGGAAAAAGAAGGCAGCAATCAATACCAGTCGAACAAAAGCAGAAAAAACCAAGGCACAAGCGGAATACACAGAAGTAAACAAATAAGTGAAGAGGAGCATCAGAACCGACAAACGTAAATATGTGGAAGATTTAGCAATGACGGCATAAAAGGCTGCAGGAGAAGGAAACATGAGAGAACTGTATGACACAATAAAGATACTCTCTGGAAATCACCATAAACCAGAACGACCAGTGAAAAGCAAGGGAGGCAGGGTAATCATCAACATTGAAGAACAACAAGACAGGTGGATAGAACACTTCGAAGAACTCTTGAATCGACCAGCTTTACTGAATCCGCTCGACATCAAGGCGGCAGCCACGGACTTCCCAATCGATGTTAGCCCACCAACAATTGAAGAGATAAGCATAGCCATCAGACAAATCAAGAGTGGTAAAGCAGCAGGACCAGACAACATTCCAGCACAGGCACTGAAAGCAGATGTAGCAGTAACTGCAAGGATTCTCCACATACTCTTCAGCAAGATTTGGGATGAAGAACAAGTACCAACAGATTGGAAAGAAGGACACCTGACCAAGAAAGCAAAGAAAGGTGATCTGATCATGTGTGATAACTACAGGGGCACCACTCTTCTCCCAATACCGGGAAAAGTCTTCAACAGGGTATTATCAAACAGAATGAAGGACTCCGTAGACGCCAAACTTCGGGATCACCAGGCTGGATTCTGTAAGGATAGATCGTGTACAGACCAAATCGCAACACTAAGGATCATTGTAGAACAACCAATTAAATGAAATTCATCACTTCAAATCAACTTCATTGACTACGAGAAAGCATTCGATAGAGTGGACAAGACAACACTATCAAGGCTTCTTCGATACTGCGGTGTGCCTTAGAAGATAGTCAATATCATACGGAATTCCTATGATGGATTAAACTGCGAAATCGCGAATGGAGGACAGCTCGCAGATTCGTTTGAAGTAAAGACCGTGGTCGGGCCAGGTTGCTTACTTTCACCCTTTCTCTTTCTCCTGGTGATCGACTGGAGCATGGAGACGTCAACATCCGGGAGGAAGTATGGGATACAGTGGACAGCTAGGATACAGCTGGACGATCTAGACTTCACATATGATCTGGATCTTCTATCGCACACGCAACAACAAATGCAGGAGAAGACGACCAGTGTAGCAGCAGCCTCAACAGCAGTAGGTCTCAACATACACAAAGGGAAAAGCAAGATACAACACTACATGCACCAATCGAATCACACTTCACGGAGAAGCTTTGGAAGATGTGAAAACCTATACATATATGAGCAGCATCGTTGATGAGTACGGTGGATCTGATGCAGATATGAATCCACGAATCGGCGAAGCAAGAGCAGCATATCTACAACTGTCAGCCAACACCAAAGTCAGAATTTTTAATATAAATGTCAAAACAGTTCTACTGTATTGATACTGATTTTCAGAGTTAATCAATTGTTATCTGAAGTAAGTAGAGAGAGAGATTCGATCTCGGTGATCGAAAGTCTGGTGTTCTAATCTTTAAGTCATCATTTTAAAGCAATTTGTGTTTCAAACTGACTATATCAGTAATCATATGATTGAGCATTAAAAGTAATTTGTCGATTTAGCTCTTAAACGTCCTATCTTTTCTATGAAACAATTTCTTTTTGGTTTTTGTTATAATAAAATAAATACGACTTCAAATTTGATAGTGTCAATTATTCTTAAAGACTTTTTGATAATATGAAATACATAAACCCACCAAATAAAAGTATTTTAATCTTTAGAAAATTTAATCGTATATACGCTAAATACTATCATTTGGTAATTCAACTACATTGATTATCACGCCATTTTATTTAAAAAAAAAGGATTCAGAAAAGAGTATGAAAAGTGATTTCCTCTAAATTACTGGTTTGGTCATATATAGCTTTCTTCCAACCTACTCCTACACCGGCCAGCATTATACTCCGACTTGTTCTAACCACCTGTCGATGAAGATTTACAACCGATTTGCTATGGTAGGTATTTCCACAAAATGCAGGCAGCAAATCAAAGAGAAATAGGATCAAAAGCCTGCAGTATACATATATCTTCTACCTTAATAGATGAAGTTTCAAAATCACAGAGTATTACAGATTATCAGTATGGGGTTATGGAGATTGTTAAGTTTTTGATTGAGAACATGAAGCAACTGATGTTAGACCACCATTGAAAACCTGGAAGCATTGGATGGCCGTTTCGTCCTAGTATGGGACAACTCAGCATCGCGCACCCACGACTGGAAGAATTTGCAATTCAAATGCAATCCATTCATAAATCTGATCTGGAAACAGATTAAGGAAGTTCAAAATGACCTGACTACTAATTAATAATCAACAACTATCAGTATTACATTATTGATTGCGGTGGATATTTCTTAACACGTGAACTATTATACACTTCCTTTAGGGATGACCATAGTTGCCAAAGCAAATAAATAGTGAGAAAACTGGTCATAATAATAAGTAACATCACTCACCAACCACATAAAAGACTAACGAATTTTGGTTGGAAATTGAAGGTGTTGAGACCTAGTGATACTGATTAATCACTTAAACACTGTTAAGCAGAACAGACTTAGCACGCATAAATTCGGTGATTGACAATCGAGTATCCGAATCAAGAATAAAACATCTTCGAAATTAACGAGAATCTTTTCGCACAACCGATAATCTATTAATTAATCTGTATATATCCATGTTAAAAATATACCATAATAACTGGCTATAACCCATAACTACAGTAGTATAAGGGAATTCACCAATGAACAATTATCTTTTAATATAGAGGATTTGTGGGGAGCATAGAATTCTCAGTTTTGGATCACCAACTGGTAGTAGCTAGATTACCACTGAAAACCTGGACGGCCAGTTCTCCTAATATGGTACTCCTAAGCGGTGCATACTCACAATCTCATGGGAAAGAATCGAACCCAGGACCTCTCGGTCCCAAGCGCGGGCGCTTAACCTCGACACCACTGAGCTGGGATTCAATAGTGTTAATGTATGAGTAAGATCATTTCGTCATTTTTTTTATAAGAATGCAACTGTAGTTTTTAAAATATACTGTTTCAAAGTAACGTTGTAAGATGGAGTTGTAGTGTGCTTTAATGATCATTTACTGATTGAAAAAAATTAGCATATTGTTACCTACACGCTTAATCATAGCAAGTTTCCTCAGATATATAAACACCACGTACAAATTAAAGATTCAAAAAGTTTGGTGTACTAATATTATCGTTTAATCATAATCATCTCTTTTTGATAATTCACAACTGTATTATACGACGTCAATTACAGATCTTGTGCATACACTTGTATCAACTTAGATTTATATACTAAATTTAGTAATCTTAATTAGACGAAGACTAAATGTACTATATGTTTTCTTGTTGTCTAAAATGGAATAAATCTGTTAGCTACGACTTTCATATGTCACAAAACTATTAGAACTAAACAGTTATAAAGGTCATTTTTAATATAAGTAAACGATGAGTCGTAGAACCTCGATATATTTTATTTTTTTTAAAGAAACATTACAAATTAGTTTTTTACGTAACTTAGCGGAATCTACTGAAACACCTAAATATTTAAACCATTGAAGTCAAGTGAGGTTTCTATCAGTTGGAGAGGAGTTGATCAATATCGAGCACTGGACAACAATTTCAACTTATTTGCACAATCTTAAGAGGTTTCACTGCTACAGCCCATACATGGGATCGAGCATATTTGTTGGCGTGTATACTTCCTGGGTGTCACTAAAGGGGAGAAAAACAATTTGTTCAGTGTCACTTGATTTTCAATGATCCTCCAGATGATACAAATATGATTCAAAGACCTTCTTAAATCTTCTAATATAATCCTAAACAAAATAAGTATTTGTCTCCTTTCTTTACAATATGTGATTTGTAAAATATTCCAGTAAGTAGCGAAATACATTGGTGACGTTTCGCTACTTTGTTTGAGTCGTTTCTTCAAAGAATCGAGAAAGAAAGCGACTTATATGCTAAGCAAAGCATTAACAAAATATGACTATTACTGGTAAAATGGGCTATTATTAATTAATCAATTTTCAGCTCGAAAAACAGTGTAAAAATTAAGAAATGGTACAGGCAGAATCAGTTATTGAATGACCAACCATAATAGCTCATAATTATGATAAATATATGCATATCTGCACAGAAACAAAAAAAGCATATTTGACAGTCACATTACTACAGAAAATCCAACAACTGTTTAGTTCAAACAAACCAACAAAACAATGCTCGGTAGTCGTATAACAACGAAGTACTGAAACTGTTCAGATAAAATCCTGAAAACAAGAGCATATATATATAAATTATATGATCATCATTTTTAGAAGACAAACGCCTAGGAATAACAACGACAGAAACAGGAACACATATATAACCACAATCAGTAAAGTAATAAAGTATTTTAGCTAGAGAACAAATGTAATGTAATACAAAAATAGGATATGTTTGAGAATGAAAACATAAATTAGTAGAAAAGGTAAAAATCAGTGAAAAAAGACATGAAGGTAAGACACAAAAATACAAGTACACTTAGCAAACATCACAATAATAGCATTGTTTTATCGAGATAATCTTGATAACTATATCTTAGAGAAGACAGTAGGCTATAACAATTTGAAGATACATAATGTAACTCTATCGAGAAAACAAGCAACAATCGATGGATAAGTAAATAAAATAAAACGTGGACAAATTTTCAGGGGGCGAGATGATTTACGAGCAATAAAATTTGTTAAAATAAAAACAACAACAAAAAGAACGGAAAATGATAATACAATGATGATAATCACATTTTACAGTTTTAAGTTTCTGATGTCATACGAAGTAGTTCATTGATAACAACTTCTCGATTTCCATGATGTGTTGTTAAAAGTGAGTGAATGGTATCATCTTCAACAGATGGGAAAATTTCATGTATTGATTGAACATCTTCAGTAGATATTGGTTTAGGTAATACTGTCATACCACCGATTTCACCTAGTCGTGGTTGACAATCTAGAAAAAAGGTATCAAATGTAAATAACTAATGAGGATAATATGATCTCATGTTAAAAGATATTTAACTATTGATTCTGGGTCCAAATAGTGATTGCAACTATCATAAAGAGTAGATCTAAAGCGCTGAAATCCCTGATTGAAGACTGGCTTAATACCGTTTGTTGGATTGACTAAGTTATCAAAAAGAACAATCCTAAGAGATATGCATTTAATTATTTATCAATATACATACTTATTCTGCAGTTTCCATTTATGGGAACAAAATTTTGTGATATCGTAAAATTAAGAAAAGTTTGCACACAGATTCTAACTGAAAACTTAACACGTCAGAAAAAGCCTTCAGCTAGTCTCCAATCATGAATTTCAACGCCTTAAATTAACTCTTCTAGAAAGTTACAATTGATATATTTCAAGAAATACTTTTTGTGAATTTTTATTTAAGTAGGAGTAGACTGTCTGGTTTGGATATACGAGATAAACGTAATCTATGAGTGTAGATCTTAACTTAAATGGTATAACATAGGTAAGAGTGGGATATGTACATTTATTTCCTGTCCTACTCTAGATCATGAGTTTTATTTGTTGATTATTTTCGTAAAGTATATTCTTTATTACATGTCAAAATTATATTTGAAATAATCTCAGAGATTGAAATTTAAAATAATTCCAACGTTTCGTCCACAAGCATAAACCAGGGTATAGTTCTAACCAAAAACAAGGACTACACATCATGTGCAAAGCAGTCTAATGGTTATATACATAGTCGTTCAAATCGGTGTAAGTGTAATCAATGTAAAGCAAATGATTGATAGTAGAACATGAGAACCACTGAACTATTGATCTATACTATAAGAAACAGACAAACAAACGGAACTAAACCAATCAGACTTACATAATGGACTGGACTGTAGAACTGCAAGGTTTACTGGTACTTTCTACAAATAAAATTTTAAAAAATGAAACAAAGTGACAGGAGAATATAACAAACTCTATTTAAATAAAAATTGTTGATACAATAAGGTAAGACTGAGCAAGTCAATAAAGCATTAATTAGTAAGGTTTGGATTCTCCCGTTGTTAATATTCTGAACTAAACTAATCAGTAATTAATACTAATATATAGAGCCCTTAAAGTCAACAATATTTCTCAATCGGTAGTCTCTAGATAAGAATCTGGAAATATACACTAGATTAGTTTTTCCGTATATATTTAAATGAATTGAGGGACCTAAATGTGTATGTAATTGGGCTTCCCATCTTTCGCTTGTACCAGAAGGGTTTTCAATGTTCAGAAGAGAAAAGAAGAAGGATATATTCACCTACCTTTACATTTTGATAAATATTAGTCAGAAGTAATTTTTAAGTACATTAATTTAGTCCCCTATCTTATTCGAATTACTATTACATTGTGAATGTAAACTCACTTTTAGACGTATTTGTATTTAAACTGTATTCCTTAACACTTCTTATTACTTTCTATGGATTTTCCTTTACCTTTTTCTTTGGAAGTATACTGCAATAGGACAAAGGAATAATATTATCTGATGAAAGTTACTATGCTACCAAACTCTAAACCTAAGGTTGGTGTTTTTCTCACATAAAGCCTGCATCCCATTACAAAACAAAATAAGAAAGTTGACAATTTATATTGAGTCACTAGTATTTGGTGAAACTACATATAGACTTGAGACATATGCTGTGAACCACAAACCTGACACTTGTGATTGCTAACAATACCACTCGGTTATTGATAAGAAATTAATAGAGGAAAATTTAAACAAGCCACCAAAAAGAACCGGAGTCCAACGAGAAAGGCGCAATAAAACCCCATGTATAAAAATAAAGCTGTCACATATTATAATCACAGAAAAAGTAAAAATCCAAAGTACTGAGAAGAGAGTAAAGGAATCTGATCGGTTACCGAGGAAAACCTTGAATAATCATAGGATGATTAGGCTTTGCATTCATGAGCGAAGCGAATAACTGAAAATTGCACGCAAAAGTCAGCAATATTGGATGATTAGACCGAAAATATTTTGACGAGAGGTATTTAGGTTTGGTAAAAAACGATTTTCTAAGGGATTTATTCAAACTGATTTAATCTAAAAAGTAAAACTACTTAATTCAAGCAGAAACTGGCCTGGTATTCAAGTAACCCAGTAATGGATAAAATTAGAGCAAGTATTTGGAGGAGTCACAATTGGAGTTGAGAGTGAATAAGCTAAATGAAACCTAACTGTTAGATGGTGGTTGGAGGTAGTCGACTGGAAACCCTGGACCTGGGTTTTGTGCTACTTGGCACTCGTCAGCAAGGTGTACCTGTAATCTTGAGGGAATTAGTGTTCCCTGACGGATTCGATCCCGTGTCACCCAGCCTCACAGCCAGAGACGTTACCACTGAGCTATCGGGGTCGCGACCGACCTCCTGTAGGACTGAGACGTAATCACAATTGATTGATCGCTGGGTGGTGATCAATCAATTGTGAACCCTTATTAAAGTTTACCTCTAAAATAGAAACGTTTAAGTGTACCGCTGATAAAATTAAACTTAAACAAGAGAAATGATTGTTGGGTATTAAGCGACTTTGAACTAATTAACTGAATTGTTATGACTGGTTTTCAACAATTTATGTGACTCAGTAGTAGACAATATATCTGCCTAAACCAAGGATTTTCAGCATATGTAAGCCTACCAATCAGATCACATCAATCTAAGCAGTTTGTTTTCAGAAATCACAGTAGAATTTGCAAATCAATAAAAGTAGATAATCATTTGTGTAAGTGTTAGTTTACAATTGTGAGTGAGCAATAATAAGATCAGAACAGTAGTTTGGATGAATCAATAAAGTTGTATTACAAAAAAAAATGAAAAGCACATGCTGTTAATGAATATTCAACTAATATGCTATATTCATGTACACAAATATATATACATACAAATCGACCTTAAAAACGGCATTTTATGCATCAGTAAATAGACAAGTCACATAAATTATCGGTCTTTTATTTTGTTTATTTCTTCATAAACAAAACCATAAGTCAATATAGTGAATATACTAAAAATAACCAGAAGAAGGCCTCGTATTACTGGAAAACCCATGTAAACAAATAATAACGTACAAATAAGCTCAGTACCTACGTTAATAAAGCTCATATTAGGAGATACTTACATCAATAACTAATATACACAAGCAGATGACTATGGTGAAATGCTGTCTTCTAATCACCTTAAGGTGTTGAGCACTTAAGTGAGATTTGATAAACAGAGATGAATAAAAAGATGTCAGAATTACTGTTGATACTCGCCAAAAAGCTGTCAGTTTATAAGCAGATGTATAGAGAGCTCTAGAAATTCTAATAATACGAGTAATATTAGGAAGAATGCTATGTAAGAATCTTGGGACACTTCTAGAAAGGTGAGCAAACTGAGGACCAACATAGGCTTCCAGTCTTTTGTCCGTAAAGCATAAATCATTTTGTCGATTTTCAATTGTTATGTGTATTGTGGCAACTTGAGTAGATAAATGATTGGACCAGATCCTATATTATGTACATCAGTTCTAATCATCAGGTAAATTAATTGAATGAATGTATAAAACCACCTTCAGAATTGAAGGGGAAAAAATGGAGGTTGATGGACTGAATATGAGGAGTGAACCAGAAGAAAAATTACCATGTTCGTATCAAGCTGATAATGAATTCTTTCTGGAAAAGTAAGGCAAGCTGAAGTTTCTTGCTAATTAGCGAAACAAAGAGACATAAGTTTTTGCCTATCGATGATTTTGAAAGCAGTTGCATTGGAAAGGAAATGAATGACCCATAGTTCAAATTGTTTTTGTGATATGCATATTGAATTGAGTGCATGCACACACCTTATATTTTCAGATGCTTGTTTTGCAAGTATATATGAACTTGTAACAAAAGACAGATATATGTCAGTGTATGGTTGATAAAAAAGGAGGACGAAATTGGTAGTTGAATAGATTCTCAGTAAGAAACCACTTAGTTTTTTGTTAATTACTTGTTATAATTCGGTTTCCTAATTTTAACGACTAAATAAATAACAATCATGTTGATTAGTGTAAATGAAAATTCAAGTTAATAATAAGTTTAATTGGCTTACTCGACATCGGAAAATCAGATTAATTGAACCTTCTAAATCTTTTCCTTGCTTTCCACTGAGCGAAAACCATTGATTTAAAGCAACACCATCAAATAAAGATGGAGGGAAAATTATCACAGCATTAGCTACTTGTGAATCGGAAAATAAGACATTTTCTGAAAACACTTCTACTGTTAATCTGTCAACATCACCATGTAACCAACTAAATTTAATAAAATTAAAATAAACGAATTAAAAAGAAAATATAAACAAAATTTAGTACATGAAAGTACTTATTACAAGAATGTTATCTAATATCAATAGTTGAGATCATGAGTCAATTGGAGCTAGACCACTATGGGAAACATGGGAGCAATGGACGGCCGTTCTGTCCTATTGTGAGACTCCTCAGCAGTGCGCATCCATGACCCCGTCTCGCGGGATTCGAACCCAGGACCTATCAGTCACGCGAGCGAGCGCTAGACCACTGAGCCAGCACACCAAACGGTGTTAAAGTCTAACTTAAACTAATCCACGAAATTGAGTGACACATCCACCATTGTCATCAGTGAGTTACTATCTCACAACAGACATGATTATTGACAAAGATAAATTCTTTCATTCAGAACAATGAATAAAAGCTCATCAGAATTTAATTAAAACAAAAAATAATTATAACAGAATAAATAATTTTCTATTTGAAAAGACAAGTATATGAACGAAGAATATTCTTTTCAATAATTTTTCATCATGTTCTACAATTATAAATCCAAATTAATAATCCATAAATTGGCCAGAATCAAAGTAGAGTACATCATTTGAAAAGAGAAAATGAATTCAAGTTAATATGAAATTAATGCATTTACATAGATTATAAACCTTTAGAACTCTTTAATTTTAGCATTTTCATTATGCGATTAGTGAATAAAACTTTAACTCGACAAGTATAAATTTATATTTTATACCATGACTGAAAAATTCAGTTTTACAACCAAACTTATTACAACACAACAGACCAAATAAAAATAGACTGAAAGGTATAGTCCAAAGATTGTCAGTTGTCTTATATCAATTTAGTTGTATTAAATACTAATCGAATATGGGAAAGTTTAAACATTGTGTACATAACAAATCCCATTTACTTGCAATGATACTTTTATACCTTTTCAGAATCTTACTGATAAAGTCTGATTTATTGTTTAAGATTTTCCGTCAATGGACAATAGAATTTAGTTTCATAAAAGTGGAAACGTCTCAACACTAGCTCCGTCTTGATGGCAGTAATTATATACTAACAAATAAAACTCACCATTGGAATGTTTCATTCCAAAAAGGACGTTTGCCAGCTGAAAGTGCAGTCTGAGTTTCGAAGATGGCATCCCCAATGCGAATTCGACAGTAAAGGTTCATAGGAAATAAACCATAATTTTTAACAAGACGAGCCTAAAACATGTGAAAATGAAAACATGCTAGTTAGTTTGACAGTGAACTTAACCAGCTATTTAGAAGCAAATTTAGTTAACGAAACTGACAACCTCATAAATTAGCATTTACGTTTTTACGTTTTTCATAGTGGGTACAGACGTGGCTGTGGTTTCTGGATAAGATTATCGATCAAAAAGTCATGAGTTAATTAGAATTCTATCAATCTTCACTATAATTCATAATTACACGAGAAAGCTTATATCTCGCAAAAAGTGTTCTAAAAAGCAGGAGGCTAAACAAATGAAGTTAGATTGTTCATCCTCAGCACTTCTCGCTACCACAATACAACGGTGAATGCTGAACAGGATTACAGTACTTTCAGTCTTCAGTAGGTATGGAGATATCTTGTTAGTACTTGAAATAATGTCATTTGCAAAGTGCCAACTAAACTTCATGTATATAGACTGAGATAACAATTAGTCTTATTTCATTGACTAGTGTATATTCAAAACTACATAAAAGCGAAAATAGTAAAGAGAATTCAATGAACAAGCAAATTTTAGTGCTACAAACATGTTCCGACCACTGTAAAGTCTGTGGAGAAGCCCATCTACTTTCGATGAGTAAGATTTGATATATGTGTTATGACGATGAACGCTACCCCTGAGACAAGTAAGATGAAGTAAATAAGGAACTTTAGGCCCCAGACCATAATCACAAATTTAAAGGTTAGTTTACTCAATAAATGAAGACACATAATGATATTCAAAATTGACTGATCACCGAATAGTGACTAATGCCATCTTTGTTTAGACCCCCAAGATTACAAGTACAAGTACTCAAAAAACAAGAAACCTATACATAGGGTTTTCTGATGGCTAACTTCAACCACCCAACACGTAACGATATGAATAAAAGGTTTCTGTAGAACTGTATGAAGTATACTTTATAGGCATAGTCATTGCAAATTACGTGAGTTATTTACATCCATGCATCCGACAGAGCACTTTTTCCAATCGTTAGATCAACTGGAATGATATTTGAAATACGTGAATATCAAGAGACGAACTGTAGGAGAAATATACAGGGTAGTAACAAAGGGAAAGATAGATGCATTTGTACGAGGACAATTAAAGTTTAAGCTTTTATTGATATCATTGTTCAAGCAGAAGATAACAGTAAATTAGAAACAAAGTTCAGCGAAGGGATCTATTTTCAATGAATTTATTACCAAGCTGTACGATCATATATATAATCATATGTCAACAGTAAATTACAGTGATCATGACTGTCTGTAATTACAAAGAATACTGTGTTTTTCTTTTTGAAGTGGGGATAATACTGTCAAGATGTACTGTTAATAAGAAGACGGATGTAACATGATTAGTTATGTCGAGTGAATAACAATACACAAAGACATTCGACGACAGCACAACTGGATGCATATGAGAAGATTGGCTTTTACAAGGCCTTAGTAAAACGGATTTTACCAAACATAATGATTTTCAAAAGGTTTGCATTACATTAAGTAAACGTTTCCCGTTTGAACTGCATAAACATTATAATCCACTTATCTCGCGTAACCAACATGGAAGAGCATTTACAGACGGTGTCATTCCATTTGGTTAGCTACAAGGAGATCGATCCTCAAATGCCCTGGTAAGGTCGAGAGTGGGAAGAGCCAGCTCTCTCTCTCGAAACGCTCTCAAGTGGCCACGTACATAAAACCACTGCCAGGAAAGCCCTACTCACTGCATTTTAGTGGTATTTCTGTTGTTTACGAAATTGAGAGGACGAAAAGCGAATGTCCGGAGCTTTAACCGGGTTGGTGGATACGAAGGGTTCACCTAGGGGAGTTGGGAAACCTTGATTTAAAACCAATGGTGTATATGGGCTCTAGTATCCTGAAGGAACAAATGGCGTATGAACCAATTATTGGTCACCGGCTACCTTGGGACTGCATCTCCTTACGTTGCTCCACTGCCTTGTGGATCAGACCTTCAGGTCGAAGGCTCCGAGTGTGGCCCCCTAAGAAAACCACCTGTTTAGAGTTGGGCACCCAGGGAGTATCCCAGCCCTCACACAAATCGAATGATTTATGTGGCGCATATCTGTTTGGTGCCTGTTTGTACCAATGTTTATGTGTTTAAATAAATAAATAAATTTCACAGATGGCTACCGATGTTTACAGTTAATAATGATTTTTACACATCCTGAGTATCAACGATCCGAATTTGAAATCCCCAACGGCAATCACTTATCATCAACTATCTAAATGAACAGATATTCCAACCCAACTGCTTGATCGCCTCGGCCACAACTCCAAGCTAACTTTAAACGGTATTTCAATGTCTAAATATCATATACTTCGACTGACAACAAAGTTAAGAAATATTCATTAAACGAACTGAAAGCCAAGCTCTACACTGGGATTAACTGACCCAAAGCGAGTTTCAGGATTTTGTATCAAGTGTTTGGTTGTTGAGTATTTACCGATTGGAGTATTATTAAGATTATCTATGAACGCTTATAATGCAAGTTGTTGCTTCAGGACTGGCCTGCGTCAACACCTGAACTAAGGATAGGCAGTGAAGAAGTCGAACGCGCCGAAAACTTCACTTACCTTCAAAGTCTGGTCAGTCCTAATAGGTTGGTGTCTGACGGAATTTCAGCACGGATTCAAAAAGCTCGTCTAGCTTTTGCCGAGTTACGTCACCTATGGCGAAGGTTAGATATCTGTCTATCGATTAAGGGACGAGTATACTGCGCGACAGTTCGTTCTGTTCTAATTGACGGCTGCGAAACATGGCCATTAAGGGTGAATGATACTCGTAAGCTACTAGTAGTTGACCACAGATGGCTTAGAAATATTGCCCGCATATGCTGGGATCACCGGGTAAGTAATAGTGAGATTAGACGCAGGGTATTAGAAAATGATGGCAAATCAGTTGATGAGGTTGTGAATCTTCATCGATTGAAATGGTTTGGTCACGTGTTACGTATGCTTGAACACCGATTACCACGACGTGCAATGCTGACTAGTGTTGGGGATGGTTGGAAGAAAGTTAGGGGCAACCAAACCAAAACGTGTCTTCAGTTCATAAATTAATTGCTTGAGGTCACTAACTTCTGTTGTGAGCCATGTTGGTAGATGCAGACTACTTGGTTGGGGTCCGCGTGACTATCATAACCAATGGTTGGAGACTCTGTGTGACATGACTCAGGTGTATACACTCTCTGTCTTCCTTTAAACTAAGAGATTAAAATCGCTTCATATTTTTCTTTCTATCAACTAGTTCTTTCTTCCTGTACTTTATTCTTATCACTGATTGAAATTATGAGTCAATTAAAGCTAGACCACTATGGGAAACCTGGAAGCACTGGGCGGCCGTTTCGTCCCCGTAAAGGACTCCTCAGCAGTGCGCATCCGCGATCCCGCTCGCGGGATTCGGGCCCAGGGCATTCAGTCTCGCGCGCGAAAGCTTAACCTACTGGACCAGGTCTGTTGTGAGATATCAACTCACTGAAGACAATGGTATACGGTGGAGCAACTTCGTGGATTCGTTGAAGTTAGACATTAACACCGTTGGATGCCGGCTGTGGTCTAGTTGGTTAAGCGCCCGGCGCGAGACTGATAGGTCCTAGGTTCAAATCTCACGGGGTGCGGGATCCTGGATGCGCACTGCTCAGGAGTCCCATGCTAGGACGAAACGGCCGTCCAGTGCTTCCAGGTATTTCATGGTGGTCTAGCTTCAATTGACTCATGATTTCCATCAGTGAAATTTCTAAAATCTCCACAAAATCTCTTTTGACTATATTCTTATACACAATTTTTCCTTTTTATATTATTATCATTGAATCAACTACTGTGAATCCCGTGTTCATCTTGCTGTGCTAATGAGGTATGGCAACCTGGACCGATAAATATATGTCCATGATCCTACGTTGTGGCTGACTGACTTATAATGGGAAAGTGACTTTAATGCATGTTTAAAAAAACATCAGTGATTTAGTACTTGTGATTATCTTTGCTTTTGTGTTAGCAGCTATGTCTCACACCATATCACGACTGAAGGATCACCTGAAACGTGGATTTAAAAAAAGTCAGTGATTTTCTCCGCTATATCTAATAACCAATATATTTGTCACAAGCTTGCATAAACTGATTGATTTGTTCGCTCTTGCTTCTTGTTATTTTGGTAAGGTCTTAGGTATTTAGTAATATCTCATGGATTTTTTCTACCTTAAAAATTCTGCCACCATAAACTATTCAGAAAACTTCCCTGTCTCATGCATCAACGACAACCGTAACCGGCAAAAGTGGCCATCTATCATACATAACTGATGTGATGACGATAGACTGTCATCTCGTCAACACAAGCAGGAATAAACGTTCGTCCCACGAATACTAGGGACGGTTTACACGAATAGGTCTTCATCTTATAGACGGCAGACAGAAACCTGACTGTCACCTTCGATAAGATATATGTTCAACTTGTCGTGGGTTTCCACAAACCAATTCACCAGATTTTCTTTACGGCAAACGTTTTTTCGCTAATCATTGGTATAAACCTGATACAACACCGTAATCTAATGATCCACTCAAACAAATGAAAGTATTAGGAACTTCATTTTCGTGTTTTAGCTTATGTTAAGTCAAGGCTAAGCAGAAACTAGATCTACACCTTAAACGGATGCTCAACAACTACCATGAACTTAAAAACACACGAACAAAGCTGCCGTGTGATAGCAGCTATGCCACACACCATATCACGACTAAAGGATCACCTGAAACGTGGATTTAAAAAAAGTCAGTGATTTTGTACTTGTTGTGATTATCTTTGCTTTTGTGTACTTGTCGCATCAAAAAGCACTCTTGGTCTACTTTAAATTGAAGTATTTCCGTTGAGGTTTGAAATTTTGCTAAACTTTGTCTTGTAGTACTTTCTTTCTCATGGACTCTGACACTTGCGTTCAGAATGTGTTTTAAACATTAATCTGATTACAGTAGTCGGCAGTACTTACAAGTGTGTGTAGTGACTCACATTTATCACGAGAACACGACTGGTTTAATAAAAACAATTATTATTATAACCAACTGTACCAGTGTTTATTTTAATGTGCTTTTGCTTGACTGTGCTAATGACAGCTATTTTGTGCTTCCATTCTTATACACACACTTTGATTGTGACTTCGCGCGAATTCGGTTACGTTCTGTAACCAAGCTTGTATTCTGGCACGATCTCGGTATCTTTTCGATACCACGAGATCGCCAGCGAATATATCTCTATTTGGTCCATTAACTGTGTTCTGATATTTGGCTTCTCGGGGATTTTATGGATTTATTTGGTTACGTTCAACCTGAGCCTTCTGATCTACTTGGTACGTGTTTCGCTGTAGCGGTGTTCATTGTTAACCTCAACTCGACGCCAAGCTATATGTGGACAGCCGAATTGTTTATTCCCCATGGAGGAAGGAATGCAATGCGATGAATGTAATAAGTGGTTCCATAAGATGTGTACCCGCTTAAGTCCCACCGCATACAAAAGATGCTCGAAGCCAAACTCGCATTAACTTTGTATATTTTGCTGTACGAACAAAACATTACTAATCCAGGAGGCTATGAGCATATTATCTTTGACCTGTGCGAAGAAAGATGATGGAATGAAAGTAAAAAAGCTATAAGATACAACCACTTGGTTGGCAAGTGATTGATGAACTCCCATTCTGGGTCATAAAACACACTACCAAAGTCTGATAGTAAGACAGAACTCCACCCTGGCGTGGCTGATGAGAATTTAATCTCATCGAATATTATTGTAGGTAATGTGCTGTTTAATATGCCCGAGGCAGGCCAGACTGCCAAGAGACTGGAAAGACCCAATGATTAGTCTGATGTATAGAGCGGGGAACAGAGACTCAATAACTATCGACCCGTTAGTCTAACGAGTGTAGCTGTCAAACTAATGGAGAGATTATTCGGATGGCTGCTATAAATTATGTAGAAGGGCATTAGACATCGATGTCAAACGCTTCAGGTGTGGCACCCTAAAAACACCACCTGCTTCGGTCTGGACACCCGTGCAATATCACAGCCTACTCACAAATCAAGTGACATATGGCGCACACGTATTTGTTGCTTCTTTGTACCAACATTTATGTGTTGAAAAATAAATAAATAAAATTTCAGTATTTGGACTAAAAAATGTTGAGATTATAATACCCGACTTTCGTGAGACCGCATTTGGAATATGGGATTCGAGCAACGGGTCCTTGTTTCAAGTACGAGGCGGATATGCTAGAACGAGTCCAATGACGAAGGGTAAAAACGGTAGATCTCTCTGGCCTATCTGATCAAGACAGACTGATACAACAACTTATTCCCTTTATCTTACCGTAGATTACGAGGTGATCAAATATTGGCTTATTGTATAACGAACGATGACCTTGGTATTAATATGTCTTATCTTTCCCTTCCGTCTAGGACTGATCATCTGAGAGGACATTCTAAGAAATTTTAAAAACCGAGGTCATATCGTTGACGTTTGGAATTTTGTTTCTTGCACCGATTTGTGAATTACTGGAATTCCCTACCAAAACATATCAGCACCCTTTATCGGGCGAGACTCTAATTTAGCGACGAGCCAATCAGAAGCGTTTGAGCAATGTCAATTATTAGCCAATCAGAAGACAGTATAAAGTAAAAATATATTGCAAGAAAGTAATGAATTACAGTGGATATTCTTCTTTTACATGATTTAAAAACTTGTTGATGTTTGATAAATGCTCAGCTCTGAATTCATAATGCGTATTGTATAGAAACTCGTCCATAGGGTTAGGGTTTGGGGTTAAGGGCTAGGTTAAGGTTAGGGTTAAGGGCAAGGTTAAGGTTAGGGTTTAGGGTTAGATTAGGGTTTATGGTTAGGGTTGGGGTTAGATTAGGGTTTAGGGTTAAGGTGCTAACATGCGACCGGTTTACATCGGATTTTAGAGAAGAGGTGTTTTTTGACGAGCCTCAACCCCGCCCTGACCCTAACCATAACCCCAAACCCTCACCTCTAACCTTAACCTCTAAAATCCGTTGTAAACTGATCGCATGTTAGCACCCTAACCCGAGGCTACAACCCTAACCACTAACCCTATGAACGAGTTTTTATACCATTTGCATTATGAATTCACAGCCTCTGAACCTTTATCAAACCTTAACAAGTTTTTAAATCATGTAAAAGAAGAATATCCACTGTAATTCATTACTTACATACAATATGTTCTCACTTTATACTAACTGTCTTCTGATTGGCTAATAATTGTCAAGGTCACTTAAGATTCGTTCAAAGGTCGTCGCTAACTTAGAGTCTCGCAACCTATCCTTATTACTGAAGACTGAATACGATTACTGAAAATACAAAAGCTCAGAAAACTACGGTTCTTGCTATCAAAAGCTCAAAAAGAGCATACAAGACATGCCAATATGTATTTTGAACGGCTTTATGAAACGATAAAAGTGACTAAGTCAAGGTCCTATACGAGATGGTATGAAGTGAGATGTCAAATTTCGGAGAAATGAAAATCAGCTCGGAAATGATTTATCACGCCAAATACACACGCACTAACCTCTCCATTGTAAATACCAGTATTGATCCTGATGGGAACAAGATTTCGTACCCATTCATACGACTGAGAATGCTTACCATTAAAATATAACTTGCATGATCATTGAGATTCTTTTGAAATTATACACATATATATGTCAGCCTAGTCACGAAAAACAGGTCTGAAAATATGGTAAGCTACACAAATACTTTCAAACCAGGTATCAAACAAAGAAAGTGATAATGATTCACCTGAGAGACATCCAAATGTAATAATAACTGTTCTTTGACAGGGGGCACTGAAATAATAGGGTCGCCTTCATGTTTTGATTTACAGCCATTTTCAACAACGTTGGAAGGCTTTTGGACCAAATTATTTGATGAATTCGACGGTTTAACGTCAGGACTTGATAAGTCTAACAAGTCTACTTCGTGATCTTCAATAGACATCCTTGAAGTAACGCATTAATACTTGATACCGCAACACTTTGTAGGGTATCAATATTAAGCAGTAAAGTATTAAACGTTAAATAAGTATCTGTATATGTTGCCGTCCAAACGTTTTAGCTTCTCATATTAAATATTCGTACTTGGCTGCCTACATCTAGCTCAAAAACTAAGTTACAAATCATTCTTAATTTGTATGCATGACACTCCTCAGCAGATATAGTCTGATTTATCGCTTTTTGTTGGTGATTAAAAACTCTGGAGAGAAGCTTGCAACCAAGACGATAGCCTGGCACTTCAGGAAGATCTGACTTGTTTTCAGAGTTGAGCGGACAACAACGGACTTACTCTTAACACTTCATAATGTAAAGTAGTACTTCCGAGACATGCGCAGATTGCGAATATAACTTAGCAGACTACCTTCAAGAAGTGTCTTAACTGAAAAACGTTTGGGGGTGTCGGCACACTATGATCTTAAGTTTTACGCTAACCGTGACAGAATGTTTTTTGTACAGACCTTGCATCGATAACGTTGAAGCGCATGTTTGGACAGTTCGACGGAAGACTAAGTATACATTGGAACATATCGAACGGCGAGCCACGAGATCACTTCACGGACTCGGATTCAAACCTTGTGAGGAGCTCCTCAAATCAGTGAACGTTCGCCCATTATAGTATGGGGTCTCAGAGGTGACCTTCTAACTACTTACAGCATCCTAAATATTTCTGGGCATCTCTTTAAATACCTACCTAAGCTCAGTCTCAACATAAGCCCTACAGTAACACCAAGAAACTGAACTCACAACATAGCAGAACGGACTGTAGACACACCTAATTCTTAGGAGTAATTGAACTCTCAAATTCGCTGTCGGCTGGGCTAGTTCAAGCTACTTCCCAGTGGTCATTTGAGTGAAGACTTGAAATAGTCTTAAGGACTAATAAAAATATCTCGCTGTAATCTACGAATATATTTTTCTCTTCTAAATTTAAATTTCCCTACGTTCCCACTCGACGGTTCCGGTAATCTACAGTTACTAAATACGGAAGCCTGCTGAACAAAAGCTTCTTTTCATCCAGAATCATATAAGACCATTTGAATGCTTACGATACAATCACTTATTTATATGATTTAGTCTATTAGATTTCGTTCAAAATAATTGTAAGAACTATGTTATTAAGAATACTTCGAGAATGTCTGTTGACAGTCAATAAGATGCGAATCATGTTTAGGTAACAAAAAAACCCAAATATACGATCGGTTTTGTGAAGAAAGTGATTCAGAGGATATTAGATAGATTAGCCCAAATCTTCAGATAACATAATGTCATGATGAATATTGAGTGTTAAAATATTTTTTATTGGATTGAAAAGTGGTTATTTTCCTCAATAATAGTACCTGTTTCACCAACTTTGCCAATTATTTGCGTGCTGAACATAGTTTCTATAACTAGCTTACAAAATACTCCATTTAATTATTAACTTACGTGTATATATATATATATATATATATATATATATATATATATATATAAAAGAAGGGAAACACTTAATATATAAGTGCATATTTATTTCTTGTTGTTGTTTAAAAATCCCAATATGTTCCCTCCAAAGCATGAAAGTCATCAGTTTTATGGTGAGTTTAAAATATTTTGATGATTTTTCAATTAGGATTTCCAATTTTTCATTGTTATGTCTCAGCAAAAACTCGTGCAAATTGATAGAAATTTGGGTTAAACTAAATAATTTGTGTGACCCAGCACTTGATTCTGCAGCACTCTGAATGTGATATTCTAGTTTTCGAATGCAATAATCGGTCGAACACTTTTAAGTCTCTATCCATATATGTCTTTGACCTTGTCTGTCATAAGCTTATAAACCCGATTATTTTTATCTGCATGTATGTGTAACATTTATTTAGCTTACTCTCTCTGTCTAATGGTGGTATTTATACCAAGTAATAATTCAATTTTTTGATTCTGCTATCATTACGAACCTAAGATATAGTAGGTTTGCTCGTGCTCAACGGGTTCCACCTGTTTTTCTTTTGGCTGTACTAGGAATTCCTAAATACCATATTGGTGTCGCGATGGTGTATCATTTCACCCACACTTGGGTCTTTTTACGTTTAATGTTTTAAAGCCCTTCAGTAAATTTACTTATCAAACAGTGTCATTAGAAAGGTAACATTGTGCCTATGTCTTTGCATTATTATTTGCACGTGTGTATGAACATGTATGGTTGATCACGTGTCACATCCTACACTTGTATTACTCTTATTAGGTTAAATAATAGCTGCTTAAATCACTAGATGGATCGTTCGCTTTCCTGTGCACGTGTGTCTGATTCCTATCATTTCATCCGAATTTTAATTCACCGCAGCATTCGCTTGCTTTCATTCAAACGGATACTCACTTTTGCTTGGATCCACTTTGTGTTTGTGGTGATCTGTGCTGTAATATAACAAAGTGTTATCAACGCTTCGTATTATCTCTATAATTCTATGCGCCTTTGAGAGTTATCTGATAACTGTTATCAAGATAAACGATACACAAAGTTTAAGGAAAACTGTCTACGATAATCCACTACGATGGCGCCTGTTTGAACGGTTAGATATACATTTTTATTCTGAAGCCTTCAAGAACTACATTGAAATCCTTAAAATCTGGAGCATCGCCAGGAAAGATGTTAAAGATGATCATGTTCCTACGTTTATAGGAAAAGATGTCTACTGGTTATTTAATAATTTGGCGTTTACGGATATTGCTGTTCCAACTTCTATGAAACCGTCAAGGAAATACTATTAAGTCATACAAAGCGCACAAACTTTGAATCTATTGATAGAGCAAAATTTCATAAAAGGATCCGTCAGAATAGACAGATGGTTGGTTATTTTATCCACGAATTGTAGAAACAAGTCGTCAAATGTATTTTTTCAGATTGAATTCATATCCAGGTATGTGATCGATAAATTGAAGTGATTAACATACACCCAACTACCGAAATGCTCCTTCCAAGAACACAGAACTGTTTATATTAATTTTCAGACAAAGCACGACACCGACTCCCAGGACATGAGGAATTCCGCCACACGACTTGTTATAAACCGACTCATTTCCAAGGTCATACTACGAAAGATTTAATTAAAAATTACCCCCCTTTTCTCAAAAGCACGTGAAATAATTATTAGAAGTAGTAGAAAGCTGTAAACAAGAGTGGTCACAAGCTTGGTAGGTGTCTACTCTGTGGTAAACTTCATTCACGTAATTGATGTGCATAATGTCATGCTTAGTACTTTCTATGTAGCAAATCGGACTCAACAAGTTGATGTGTATAACTACTGTTCATTTTGCCATTAGTGCTAATAAACCACATAATTCGGTTTTGACTAAGTTCAGTGCTTCTAATGATCATTTGTTTTGTCCACAATTTTTAAAGGTTTTCGCGTCGGTAGATACCACTCGTTTTATCCATAAAACTGATAGTTACAGCAAGTTTTTATTCAGATCATGGAATATAACAGTTGTAGTACGAGGTTCACTTTCCAGCACAACTTATGGATTTGCAAGGTAATTTTTATATTCATGAACGGTTATATAACTCCCTTTGTTCATTCCATTTCATTTTTGTTACCCATACTCCACAAGACTCATTATTTCATTCGGATACTTAATATCTTTAGATTCTAACGTGGGTTCTAACGAATGAAGTCTCAGCATTGAGATTTACTGGACTCCAACTTCTGTGAACCGCTAGTTAGAAATGAAAGTTCTTCCAGAAACAGTACTCAAAACATTTAATGATTTGTGCGCAAAATAATTATTGAACCAATCCAGTCTTCAGCTTAGGTTTTCCTATCGATACACCTTTGAAACGTGACAGCAAAATACCTAAATAATTTGGCGAATACCACTGTCTGTTGAAGCTAACATGCACCACAGTGGATGTTGAAGATATTCTCTATCGATGTAACGGAAAGAGAACGCTGAAAATCCCTCGAGAGTATTTCATTGGAGAGTAATGTAATTTATTTGTTTCTTCACCGTCTTTGATTCTGACCTTTATCACGATCTCTTTTTTCCCAAGTCAAGGCTTTTGTTATTTGATCCCGGTTAAAAATGTAGCTTTCCTTGTTAATTCACTGTCGCTTGTTTCCAGACGATCGGTAATAAGGTCGTGTCTGACTAAATTCAAGGTAACGACTCAGTTTTTCGTGCCTATAGGTAACCCTCGTGTTATTGATAGAAGAAACCAGACAAGTAGTGAATAGGTCTTTATTTTAGATCTTCGCGCATTTACAGTGAAGCGTGGGATTACCTGTTCAGACAAACAAAGCCTCTCGATATTAAACATAAGATAATAGGAAATATAACGCCTATACAAAATAAGGAAGTGAATTAATACTTGAACTGTACTGTTTTGACACATGCTTAATTGTTTGAGGTCAACTCTTAACCAATCAACCTAAGCTGTTACAGGTTCAGTATATGGCTGTCAACCATTGACGTTTTGCTTGGAAAGGTAGCCGGAGTTCTTGAAGACAGATATCTGATTCAATCTTATTTATTCTCGGGTATCAGACTCTTGGTTATTAATCATTCCTTCTGTTGTTTAGCACCTAAGTTTGTGTTAGGGAATTTTTTCACTGCATAGCACAAGCTTTACCACTGAGATATTTTGTACTTTTGAGATGATTTGCTCATTATTATAATGAATCCGTATGAAGTGAACACAGAGCTCGTGTTTTGATACGATTTATTACGAATCACTCAAAAACTCCTCGTACTTTACACAGAAAAATGTATTTTGGCCTAATCGAGTAGACTTTGGTTCACTAGTTCTGCGTTCAAACCGAATATTGGTATTTCGTTCGTTACAATCGACTTCATGGTTTCAAGGCGTTCTCAAAAACTGAGTTAATTTATGCTTGTCTGCAAATCCCCTTGGATTAGTTTCAATCTATTTTGACACGAGTTACCACTTTAACTCTATTTTCCATTTTGTATAAGTTGTTCTTCAGTCATAATTCAGGAATTATTGAGTAATGTAGTCAATGATCTTACAAAACTACGTTCACCGGTGGGTGCTTCTCAGTGTGATTCCTATTTTATTCCAAATTTTTTCTTTAATGTTACTTGTTTATTTTAAATCTTGATATCCAATTAGTTGAAATGAGGCGAAGAACAAGGTTCATGTTTAAGAAACCTTTGTTAGTTTCGTTAAAGAGATGATATTCCTCGAACCCATTTTCTTAGCGTACATTCTCTGCTTATTGCTGATGCATCACCAGTGGGTATTAGTGCAGTTTTGGAGAGGGGGGTAAATCATCAGTCCGTGTTTCACGCAAACGTACTGTTGCTGAACAACTTCATTTACAAACTCAGCGAGAAGTATTAGCTCTGCTTTGGGCTGTTAAACTGCTTCATAAATATATATTTGGAAAGAAATTAACTACTGTTAACGATTATGAAGCTTTAAAGCCTATAATCATCTTGAAAAATCTTTAGCAAGTTTCTCAGCTGCTATGATTCAAAAACAGAGTACTGTTATGAGTGGTTTTGACCATAAGATTCAACACGGAAGTAGCTAATAGATTCAACATGTTGACTAAATATCATGACAGTCATTACAGAATAAACCCATTATTACTACGAACTGTTTAATAATGCAATCTCTACCATGAACAGTTCAGATCTCATTGCAGAAACTCATCGATACTTTGGATGTGTATTCAGTGCTATATAAAAAGTTAGGTTTCTAACCTGTGACGTAAAAATCTTGTTTGTTTTTACGAGTGGGATAAATTATTCACTACTAGTGATGCTATTTCGTGTTGGTAGCCGGAGAAAAATGCAAATGTGGGTTGTACAGCAAACAATTGTGAAAGATGTCACAAAGCAAAAAATCTTTCCTCAAAATGGACTTGACATCCAATACCATTAGAGGCCCTGAAGAGGATTCGTGCAGACTGTTGTGGTCTAATTCTCGGCAAATACTAAGCAACTGCGGTCAACGATTCTTCCTCTGAATGACCTGAAGTGTTTTTTGCGATGTCATTGAACCGATATATTAAAAGGATCGTTCAGTCGGGAGCTTCCTATTGTGTTATTGATTATTAATGGCCCTCATTTTTCTGCAGATGCATTTGTTACGTAGTTGAAGAGTATATGTTGTAAACATCTGTTCACTGGTCTCAGACTGTCTTGTTTCAGTGGTCGAGCATAAAATTTCGTCACAAAATTGGGACAATCGCTGAATCAACAATAGAACCGGAGATCGGGGTCGACACATTGCTATGGAGATGTAGAAGTTCTAAACATTCCGTAATGAAAGGGACCCCGCCAAAATTATTATATAACAAGATTTTTTGTAGGAACGTAAAGTGTTCAGAGTTTGTAGAGACTACATATTGTCCTCAAAATGATCTTTACCAGCCATGAGATTGTGATGAATAACGTAACAAAATTTGTGGTTCAGCTTCGAGAAACCAACGATTTAACAACAAACAACCGACACGTTGAAAAGATACAATTTCATGAACCAGATGATACAGTGTTTACAGTTGACCTAGGGAGAATACACATGATAGTTCGTGGATTGGTTGAAATTAGACATTAAAGGCGATGGATGCCGGCTCAGTGGTTTAGAGGTTATACATTCACACGTGAAACCGAATGTTCTGGGGTCGAATCTCGCATGCAGGGTCGTATATGTGTACTGCCGAGGAGTCCCATACTGGGTCGAAATGGCCATCTAGGGGTGTTCCAACACAGTAAGACTACGAGGATCTGGATTCCTATAACATCTGTAGAGGTTTAGGTATTTGTTCTTGCTGATTATTCGTTTTATTATTATGTGCTCACTTTTCCTCACCAAGCTGTCTGTTTTAAATTTGGCTACTTTTTTCGGACTTTCTAGTCAGCACATAAACTTGACCACTTCCAATTATCAAAACAACCCTAAATATTGCTTTTCGCTTGATGTAATTAAGTCCTCGTTCCTCTTAGTGTTCGTCTATGGCAACAAATGTACTGAATAGATGTATCCAGAAACAATTCTCATATTTGATTTCTTTTATTCTCTTACTCACTAACATGAATTAGGTCAGTGAATATGTACGAGATCTATCGGGATGCATATTTTGTTGTCTTTGACGGCCGAAAAGACTAGAGTCATGTAATGGAGCCACATTATGGAAAAAAGGCTGATTAGAGAATATTACGGAAGTCGATCAACAGAGAACAAAGGAAATAATATCGTTAGTATTGAGAACCACGAAATTCAAGCCTCTTGGGGCTACTCACAAATGAGTTAGATGGGTCTGCACATGCTAATGATTATATCATAAGAAATAAGGTTACTTATTTTAGCTTCTATTGATTCAACAGCAAAGACAAATATAAGCAGTCAACTTCAGGTAACTGTTTAATAATATCACACCAATAAGAAGACTATAAGCATACTTTTAAGATGGTGGTTGGGGGTAGTGAGGAAGAAACCCTGGACCTAGTGTTCATGCTACTTGGCACTCGTCAGCAGGGTGTACGTGTTATCTTGAAGGAACTAATGCTCCCTGACGGATTCGATCCCGTGTCGCCCAGCTCCAGTCAGATAGGTTACAACTGAGCTATCCAGGCCACGACTGGCCTCCTGTAGGGCTGAGATGTATCTACAACTGATTGATCACTGGGTGGTGATCAGTGTCATGTATGTCAGGTCCTTCTTAATGCAGATCGAATCCTATCGACCAAGTTGCCACGTGGCCACCAGTCTAGATGACTCGACGTTGCATGTACTATGTTAAGATAAGATGATGGTTGGAGGTAACCAGGAAGACCCTCTTCTTTGGTGTCCGTAAATTACAAATAGAATCTTACCACATGGTTAATTTGAACATGAATAGGACGGCCTGCTTGAGCATCTGGGCTACCTGTTCCTGCCATCTAGATATTTCAACAAGTTATCTATTTTTGTTTGTTCTAATATATCATTAAGTTTATTAATCGCATGACCTATTCTGCTGCGTTTCTGAAAGGTGTACAACCTTTCGTTGTCAAAGTTACAAAAAACTCAATAAGAGCCAACGTGGTTGCTGGCAATATACAGCGAAAGGAATGCACATCATTCAGATGTTCATTTACTGAACTGCTAACATCTAACTGGCGATCACTCAATATTTATCGCCAGGACCGATCAAGGAGAAAGAAACGGAAACTTATTGAAATACTTTGTGCTGAGAATTCTATATTGTACCAAAAATATAATATTGAATAAAGCTGATAATAATAATAAAAAAAAATAATGAGAAGGCAAAAGGTGCGGGAAAAAAGATAAGACGCATGCATCAGCTCCGCAAATTATATTCACCAGTCTGCGTTAGTCACCATCGACTTTGAAGACTACTCAGTATATCTGAAGGAATGAACTGATATTCACTTTTATAGACTATATTTATTTAACATGCATACTATGTAACAATAAATGTTGTAATTTGTAGATCATACCTGTTAAAATGGCGTGTGCCTCCCCTTCTAGAAATATATCATATTAATATATTAAGATACCCAGTGGTTGACTCAACGCCCACTGATCACTCTTCTAACATGGCAACGATCCAGCTAGGTAGATGATTCATCTTAGGCTCAAGGATATTTCGCTGGCCCTACACCTTGACAGACAATCTATTCTGTTGTTAAACCGACCAGCATATACCATTTAAAACGTTTTGTGTATGATTCAACCATGTATGCGCGAATAAGCATCTAGATTACGGTGTTCTACACTTAATGAGACTTTGCAAGCAATCTGGTTTACTTTATGGTTGAAGAAACTGAATCTTTAACAAGTAAACTAAATACCTTTCAAAATTACAGTAAATGGTTTCATTTGCAATAACCTAAAGATTTATCAAATCAAACGCCTGTGGGTAATTACAAATATGTGAAGCTATAACCAAACTATTTAGACATTGGACCTTTATGAATTGATTCATGCCTACAAAACCATCTTTTACGCGAATGACTTACATCCAAAAACATGTATACCAGTGACACCTCCTTTCACAATAGTGACGGATCAAAAAATAATGTATCAGCTGATATGTAGTAATGGAAAAAATAAAGCGTTACGGATGGCGGACGCTTTATTAAAATACTTGTTTTCATAGTCAAAACGATCGTAAATATTTCCCATCACATAATTTCTTTGTACATTCTAGAATGGTACGAAGCATTCAGATATTAAACATGACATGAAAAAGACAACCGTGTGAATGTTGAATAATTTATTAGTATATAAACTTATGGACGTAAGAAAAGAAACTATACATGTATTGGTTTCCGATTTAAAATAATCATAGTATACAAGATATATATTTATTCATGAGGCCTGGCAGTCAATAACAGATCAACTTCTTCTAACGGTGTTCTTAATCTTAATTCACGTTCCGATAATAAATCAACAACTTCTTCAACATCTTCTGGACAATAACGAACTAGATCTGTATACAGAGCCTAAAATGTAAAAAACAATATTGTACACCCAAAACTGACTATTTTAGTTGAAGTGATGAACATGAATTGCTACTAAATGACTGGTTAGTATTGTATAAGTCAACATAAAACAAACTTTTATTACGTACGAGCAGAAAATGCAATGGAGAAAATTTGACAGGATTATTTGTAATAACTTTAAATAAATCTCAGTTCGGTATTTCAGTTAATATCGACAATAATACCAACTGAATTTACTAGCTAAATCAAGAACTTCTGTCGCTTTTCAATATTTGTTTCAATCAATGAAAAATTTCAGTAAATATCAATGGCATGCAACTTAACACTGCCGGCATGATTTTGGCACAAAGTTGAACTGTTGTGGTACTTCAAAAGTAAATAAATTCCAATTGTCAATCATGATATATAGTATTAGTAGAGCCTATTTCAAACAGCAACAATCTTGAAAAAAGACACGAAATACAGCAACTAATAGTATAAGAGATTTTTCTGACTACAAAATATGGTCTTCATAAGTTAAAGGATACAATTAACATGGTACCTTGCTTAACGTCTCAGCAACTTTTAAGAAGTACCTTATAATACCACTTTAACCTTTTAAAATTCTTGGTGCGATCGTTGACATTCACCTTAGTAAATGATACACAATAGCCCAGATACATGTTTTCTTTAAATTACCAGACAAACCTTTAATTTGTTAGCAAATTAAAAGCACCCATAGCATTTAATCTCCAACTAATGACCTTTTTATTGTATCTTAATAACTGTTAGCCGTTTAATAAAATGAGAAAATTAAAAATGATGGAATGTAAATAATGGGAGAAACTATAATTTACGGACGAACTAATGTAATTAAAGGTAGCAAGTCTTGGGCTTTGGCGCGCAATTCGTCTATTCATATGGTTAAATAGCATTTCGTCAATAAAGTTGATGCCAGTTTGTGATGAAAACCCTAAATTCTAACTCTAAACCTTACTCTTAATTCAAAACATTATTTTAACCCCCAGCATGTATGTGGTATCCTCAAGGTCACTTCAGCATCGTTCAAAGTTCAACCATAAATTATAGTCTCACTAAACAATAAGAAAAATATTCTGAATGAAATTACTTTAGCCCATGGAACATCTTCAACAGCTCGGTAAAAAACTGCTTTTACAGCTTGACGACGTTGACGAGGATCTAAATTATTTGTAATAGTTGTAGTAGATGTATTAGAAGTATGAGGTGGACCAGCCATCCAACCAAATGCCATATAAGCTCTCCATATAACTAAACGTAAATGCGCCGACCAGAATGACGGTGTATTAGCACCTAGCGCTACATGAATCAAGTTTCCTTCAGAAGATATAAATGATGTAAGAAATGGACTAATTTGCACAGCCTTCTCAAATGCATTACGTACACGTTGATCACTTACGGAATTTCTTCCTATTATTATTAAAAGAAATATATGATAGTTAATTAATTAATCAAATGTTTTATTGTTTACTTGTAAAATTTTAGTTAAATATAAAAAATTTCTGTAAATTATTACAAGTACAATAAACACAATGATCACAGAATGTCATTTTATTGATATCCAAGAACGAAGAGGTTCATTATAGTGTTTAGATGGTTTAAACCTTTATGGCGTTTTGTGCACATTCAAAGACGTATTGTATCTATAAAGCATATCTACCTCTTGCGCTAATGTATTTGTTTGTTCATTTGAGATATTTGCACTTACTGGCACAGTATTACTCTCGTTGTGATTTACAGGTAAGTTTCATTGAAAAACTATTAGCAAGATCACCAGACTAGTAGTATCATCAATCAAATTTATTTTCATAGCATTGCTGCTATCGACTTAAGTGGGCTCATCACTCGGTAAACAGTCTGGAACATAAAGAAGTGATTATTTAAAACGAATTCAAATTATTTTGCCAAGAAAAATAATTAGTTCGTTTAGAATTCGACGATTATTTACTAGAACTATTCGATATTACTTGAAACTGTCAAGCTAATTGATTAGATTAATCAAGATCATTTATAAAACAGCATAAAATTATATGCATCAATAAAAAGTGTATCAGATACATTATAAGCAGAGATAGATGGTGGCTAGCAGTGAGATCCAGAACGCACATTTCTTCCTATTAGGGGCTCTTCAGCTGGATATACCTGCATTCCAGAGTTGATGTCCACTCCGGGACTCGAACTCAGTAACGTTCTCTTCAAACGCTATCGCACTATACACTTAGCTGCCTAGTCCAGGTAACCACTAGCTTGTTCAATTTTCAATCCATATGTATTGGTTGTTTAGATCTTCTCATTGGCCAATAAAAGACTGGTCAATTGCAGTCCTAAACATCAATGAGAAGATTCAAACAACCAATACAAAAATGTATCAAATACAGTTTGAGAAGCATAAAATTAAAACAAAACAACTGAATAAATACATAAAAGCCAGTGTTCAATACCTACCATCACCATAATCACAAGTAACACCAGCAATTAAACTCGTCCATCGTTCTAATTCTAAACTTAAAATGAATAAATCTAAAACATTTGGTAAACAAGCAGAACATAGTTCTAACTGATGACCAATAAAACTATTGACTTCTGCACCAATTGATCCTTCCAGAAAATTAATATTTTGTTGTTGATTTTGTCGAATATTTGAACGTGATATACTATTCAGTGATTGTTGAATAATAGATTGAGAGGCTAACTTTGCTACATTTTGTCTTAAATGATTTAATTGATGAATAAAAGAAGCTAAGAATAACGGTGGCAACAGACCATGACATGAAGATGCATTCATCAGAGATAGGGGTAATTTTCTATTTAAAAAATTAAAAGAAAACAAATTCGAAAACACAATGAGTTACATTGGAAAATAAGAGGATTTTTTTTAACCTACTTTAACACACACACATAGATATACATTGAAATAGTAATATTTCATTTGAATAGAGACGTCAAGAAGTAGACAAGATAATAACAGGTAATTCTTGGTTTCACGAAGAAAATCAATAACTTTACACCTATTTTAAAAATATTCATATCAATTGACCAGAATAACTTAATTTAGTACCGCAAATATCAAACACGTCTATTATATCACAGTTAATAATAGAGAGTAATACTAATGACTAAATGAATAGAAAAATGGTTGTTTAGGGTCATTCTTCCATAAATCCACCGAGAATTTTACTATATGATTAGGATAATAAAATATGTTACAAGTATGCAATGGTTATTTACACAACAGATGAACAAAAATCTAATGACTGAAAAATAATGAGTCTACTTAGCAGTAGTAGTAGTAATAGTAGTACATTATAGCACAGATAATAGAGCCAGAAACACGTAAACAAAGGCTATAAACTAATCAAAAAATAAGATTTGTAATGATACTCAAAAGTGTTATTGTAATCCAGTTGTACCAAGGGCAAGCTTCTTTTCTATAACAATTAATGATACTATTCAATAGATCAAACCAAAGTAAATGATGAAGTAACACTCTAGATCACAATCCAGTAGGAGTTACTTGTGAATAGAATATATTCACTTTCTATTAAACCTACTAGTTTCATTAAATTAAAATTCAAGAATAATTCCTAGTGTTTTCATATTCCCGTACATTTTTTAGATAGAGTTTTATACCTTCTGTCACAACATGATATTTTAATCAAATCAAAATACAATATTTCTTTCATAGTGATCATGTATGCTTTAAATGGTACAACTTCGAAAGTGATAAAAAAAATGAACTTTCAACACTGGTATGAAGTTGAACTAAAGCATCTAGCCGGGTAATTATTAATATTCAATGATTCCCTACACTAAAGTTAACATACAGTAAAAACTTTTTATGTGTGAACTAGTTAAATACACAATAACATTTCAAAGAAAAAAATAGATGTGATACAAATAATAATAATAATAATAACAATAATAATAATAATAAATATTGATACCTTTGATCTAATGAAATCCTTGATGGAAGAAGATAACTTAATTGTGATGGAAACATTAAATCCATTAGTATATCACTTGAATGATATTTATTATGTTTCATTATTAATTGAAATAAATGATTTAAAAGTGGACGTCGATTGCGTTGACGTAGAGCACAGAATGCAGATAAACCGCCAATTGTTAAATTAATAAATTTATTAGTACAAATACGATTTTGTAACGGTGCCGGGATTAAATCATCAGTATCATCAGATAAATTATTATTTGCTGACCAACGACTACTTGATTTTGAACCAAGAGGATAAGATTCGTCTAAATTGATAGATAGAAATTTACTACATAATCTATCAATTCGTCCAAGAATAGGCAGTAGACTAGCAAGTGATGAGTCTAAAGCCTGGAAAATAATTTTAGAAAAAAACAGCTTGATTAGCACTAATGACTATTTAATCAAATTCATACGTAGGTTATATTAATGGTAGATTGATTTCAGATGGGGTGCCGTTGAAAACCAGGGAACAATGGATAGCTTTTTTAGCCCTAGTACGGAGCTTTTCAGTAGTACGCACCTACAACTCCAGAATCTTTCGATCATATAGCAAACCCTTAACCATCAGAACCACCCGATCATTAGCCAGTGTTAAAAAAATATAAATGGATAAGCTCACATTACTGAATGTTCTTATATTTCTTTTCTTCATCAAATCATCCTTATACAGTACACCTCCTAGAGATTATTATTCACACTTAAAACATTTTTCAAACCGTTAGTTATATCAGACTTTTATACAACACTTCATTTGATTCATATATGGAAAAAATAGATTATTCAAGTTCAAATAGCTAGAAAAATTACATCTTCAAATATTAAAACAAAATAATGAAATATGATGTGTACTAAGATATGTATGAAAGATAATGCAGAATGCAAATAATGAGTATTTGAAAACTATTGATAAAAAATGAGCGAAAAGTGTATTCATTTTGTGAAATTACACCATACTTCATCAATTGATAAATGTTGTCTCGTTATGGACACAAAAAGAGCGTCTAGTTTTCTTGTAGAACATGTAATTTGTCTATTTACCTATCAAATCTTTGAGTATGGTACGCAGCAGTTTGCTGCCTACTACTTTGTGAACATGAAACATAAAGACGAGATGAACGTGTTATTGCTAGATTCAACTACAGATGCCTTGAAGTAAGTACAGGGGAACACCTAAAATAATAATGCTTAGGTTAGGTGAAAGTAATGAATACAGATGATAAATCGATAGATAAGGCTGTAAAACGTCATTTATAACTAATTTTTCTAAACTTTTATTCGAACTAAAGTCCTTAGATGGTTAAGTGAGAACATTAATCCTCAGAGGTTTATAGGCGAAAACATATATATAGGTCAGTATCAGTAATGAGGTATGAAATCAATTAGTTTCTGAGTGAGAGCAAAGGCAGTTGTATCACGTTGTTATAATTCAAACATTAAGTAGACGTTTTCAAGCTTTTTTGGAAAAAAATTCATAAAACATCACTAACTCGGTTTACCTTTTCATCTGTTGTTAAAAGATCAAACATTAAATTTAAATAGCATAGAATAGGGACAGTACCAAGTAGACCATCTAAAAACTCTTGATAATTATTAATTTGAGTGGTTAAATCCTCTGGCAATCCAACCAATGTTGTCCATATAGCTTCAATACGCTTACCAAAACGATAATTAGTTTTCACAATAATTGACGGTAAAATTTCACTGGTAGATTGTTGTTCATATGAATGGTAAACACCACCAATTGCGATATATGTTAGTAAATATAATACACGATTTTCTTCATTGAATCCTTTTTGACAACTACCTGATCCAGGGCATACATCCAGTTCTAAATCAATATAATCCTGATAATTTTGTTTTCCAGTGTTAAGTAAATGTATAAAAGCAGGAAAAAAAGTGACGCAACAAAATAAAGACAACAGAGAATTAATGATTTTAGAGTGACTAACTAAACTGGATACTAATTTAACACAAGAGAACAGTAGAATTGATCATAAATGTATCAGTGCGTAATACGAATAGCACAAACAATTTAACTTGGGAAGTGAAAGCAGTCAAGTTAAATCAAACCCACAAAATGCATTAAATGATATTTAAAAATCAAGATGGATATACTCAGATTCTTGGAACTTAAATCTGATAAGAACTATACCATGAGATGCTTCAAATCTAGAATAGCGTGCTTTCAAAAGTAGTTGGTAAGTCAAATCACTCGAATATTAAACATATTGCAAGTTGGCACTTAATTAGGTTTTGGTAATCAATTGGTGGAAATGCCTATCTGATCAAACCAAAACAGAATCTGAATTAACAATATAACCACTCAAAATATTGAGCTACAGCCTCATTGTACATTTTATCATTACAGTAAATTGAACAACGTGGTAATCGTAATCTCAAATTGAATAAATGTGACTGTACAATATGTGGTCTGAATTCTAAAGAAATATTTTGTAATGTATAGAAGTTAGCTGGTGAACAAAATCATTGGATTAAAACCAACAAGTTTGAATATATACATATGTATATACGTGGAGTATGAACATCCGATAACCTAGTTGGTGAAGTTCTTTACAATATCCCCAGACAATAGATACGTGATTTTCACATAATGCAGCACACTTTTACAAGGTACAAAAATAATATATAAATTGAATAAAAAAAATTTTCTTCAAACAACTAGATATACCTGTAGAAGTTTCAATCTAGGAGTATATACAGTTTGATGAAATTCAACCAACTTATCCATATCATCAATTGATGGTCCGAAATCTTCCGGTATAGGATACATGCTTAAGGCCGAATCAAATATGCGTCTTGATTCTTGAATTGGAATCGCAGCATCTTGACATGTAGCCGTTACAAGTAAATCATGACTTATTTGCCAGAAACCTTTAGCGTAGGATCGCCATAAATTTAAATCTTTTTGGTTTTTACCCTCGGATATGATTGTCCGACCACAAGTGCGCCAAATGGATATAGCAGTCTAAGTTGAAATGTTAGGAAAAGATAGCAATTACTTTAGTATAATGATGAAACTGGATTGATATATTACGAATCTGAAGTAATTTTTTACCCTACTGTGATGCATCAGCTGCAATCTGGTACAGGAAATCTCACAATTTTCAGATTAAAACATAACACTAAAGTATAAAATCTGACAGTTTGTCTGAAACATCGGGAAGTAATGGTGTATTTTCTAGTTTGATTCTGAAAGACAACAGAAGCCTTAGGTGGTTGTAGGTAGTCAACAAGAAGCCATGAACCTAAATTTCATGTTAGCTGGTATTCGCTAACAAGATGTACTTGGAATCTTAAAGGAACTGATGTTTCTAGTGGAACTCAGACAAGCATCAACCAACTTCATGACTAAGGTATCCGGTTTACAAACGACTTTCAACTATCCAACGGCAAAGTATTATATATATGATACAACTTTCATTAATATATAGATGCAAAGAAAAAAATAAGAGACACTTGGAAGAACATGTAGAATATGTTGCAGAATTTTATCGTCCCACTTAAGTAATGTCTTTACACGTTGCAAAGGTTAATAGACGAGTTGAATTACAGAACATCGAATTTCTAAGAATTAGCATCATAAGTAGTATAATATTAGTTAGGTAAAAAACTATCATTAGTTCATTACTTACCTTAACATTAACTAGATGTGTTTGAATAGCATTGGAAAGACGTTCAGATGCCAATGTAAAACGTAGTTTACTCGACGTTGTACGCCAATTTTCCTTAAGTTCAGTAGGCCACCATGATGGAATTTCATTCATTTGAGTAAGCGCAGCATCAATAAAACAACGATGGGCTTGTGCCCAAACATCTTGATGTTCATTAGCCAATTGTGATGGTGTATTCAATTGTCCTTTATTGTTACTATCATTGTTATTAGCTCGATTATGTGTAGTGTCTAAATTACTCGACATCCATGATTGTGATGGACATGGTGTTAAACCTTGACGTTGAATGCTACCTACAGATGCCAAATCATGTACAAGACGAATATCTAATAGTAGATAAATGAAGAAAAAAATGCACATAGTTTAGTGGATATGTATAATCTGTTAAATGTTCATAACGTACAATTTTTAAGGGACAATTAATATACTGTTATGAATAAAGGTTAGTATTCAGACAACAGTATACAACCACTTGTTTTTCACAGTTGAATTCACGAGTTGATAGAAGCTAGATCCCCATCGAAAACCTGGAAGCTGTCCAGTGCCTCCATGTTTTTAATGGGGATCTAGCTTAGATCAACTGGTGAATTCAACTGTGAAAATACTACAATCACCGCAAATCCCCATACTGATAGTAATCACTTCGTTTTTTTGTTGTCATGCTTTATCGACCCAACTTCGACCATTATTCAGAAGAAAAAAAACAATGAATTGTATATTCGAAAGACATTTGTTCATTTGTTTAGTTTTGTAATGAATGTGATGAAAACAAACACTGATCATCCTCTCTAATAATTATTGCCATAATTTATTTTGTTTTTATCTTAAACAAAACACATTCTCTTCGATTTTCATTTCGTGTTCACATCTCATTCATTCATTCATCCTAGTTAAATCATTCAACTTGCTATTGTCATTACCTGACTATGTTATGAATACTACTCTTCGTATTACATAATTTGCACTATGATCAAATGTCAGATTCTATTCTAAATTCAGGATTATTTTTCCGGATTTTTGTCAAGTAAATATCATAGTTAAATGTAACTATGGCTTTATAAATGGTATAGGTAAAAAAAAGGCTTCCTTGCTCAGCTTTAATGTTTTGTTCTATAACTCAATCAGAATGTTTAAAGTACTTAGATCATTATACTAATTGATTTTAGGTTAATATTAAAAAGGTTCATATTTTTCCAAAAGTGTGACAACATGATACTGTGCTGTTAAGGTATGAGGAGTTTTTAAATGTCAGATAGTTGAATTATTAAAATAAAAAGCGATATCATAAAAGTTAATATTAATATAGGACAAAAATGAAATGTAATATAATTAGACTATCTTCTAAAATCCTACCCATAGGAAAGTGATGAGATTTAGCTATATCACGATCGTATGCTCCAAGAAACTCTAAACACAATAAGAATAAGCGCTGTTGAAATAATGCTCTACGAGCTCGACTTTGAGGAGTGTCAGCTGTTGATCTTTCTTCAAATTTCCATAAATCTATTAGGCATGGTTTAATATCATCAAATAAAACTAATCTCTCAGGATCTTCATCTTCTACGTCTTTTTGATCCTGAGCGTTTAATACATCTGAAGGTAGCCAACCAACTGCTTCGCGAGCACGTTCTAGACCAACCCAAGCTTTTCCACGACGATATAAGATGGCTCGACTCTTTCCAAATGAACCATGGCCTGCAAGTGAAGGAATGCTCCCACGACGAACCCATTGATCAGCTGCAACTTCTGACGAAAGAATGGATGGAACAACATCTGGACCTGTATTTTCATAGGATTCATCAGGAATACCTTCTCCTGAACAACTAATCAATGCGTCTTCACAAGTGCTAGCAATAGCTAAACGGAAAAATAAACAATCATTCTTCTTAGCATATTATATGTGATTCTAAAAGTTGTGCAAATTTATGGACTTTTCGTTGTGCTGAAAGTAGCAGGAACATATGCCAATTTAAACTATTATCAATACCTACGAGCAGCATTTAATAGTCATCGTTACCAAGATGTTACACTCGATTCCCTTATGAATTATGGCTTTAGACTACTAGATTGATATAATTATAGATGTTTAAGTACTTATAGATTACATTTTTAGATAATAACAAATAATTTGCGTAGGGAGTCTTCTTTTCAGAAATAAGACAAACTAGTAAGGAATTAGCTACTCGATAGATAAATATACTAGTGAAGCAGTTTATTTATTTATTTGAAAGAAATTGCCTTTAGAGGATCATTGATAAATTTATTTTATATAAGATTAATAATAAGTAGTGTTATAAACATAAATAAATTCATACAAATTTAACGGGAATTAGCTACTTACACAAAAGTCAGTACTGAAATGTGTCGTCACAATTCAAGTAACAACTAAGTACAAATAATTATGGAAACCTTGTTGGATAGTTTGTGGAGATTTGCGTATGCTGAAGAAAGTTCCCACTAGGATGAATTTAATCCAGCTTCGGCAGTCAGTAGTGGCTAGTTGATTAATGGGTAAGACGCTCAACTTTCAGTCACTAAGTTCCAGTACCAAACTCAGCTCCACTTCGGTTTGGACAGCCGAGTAGTACCACCAGCCCTCACGCTTAGAGTGTAGCCTATACTCAAGTACCTGGTGAATGAGTTGATTGACTGGTAATGATAATTAATTTGATTATAAGCGATTAAATCAGTCAGATTTTCACCAGTAGACAGTGGGTTCGAACCCATCCCCATCTACTTCGGGTTAGGCAAATGAGTAGTATGACTAACTCATATATAAACAGTGTGGTTTGCAGCCAAGAGCATAAATTTATATTCGGCAGGTAAGTTCTATCGTTATTATTAGTGTTATTATTAATTAGGACGAGTTATGCAGTCAACCATAGCAGGAGTTAGGCAATTATCCATAGATAACATCCAAGGATTTTTATGTTACAGATTGTGATGGAGGTAGGATTCGAACCCACACCCTTTCGGACTAGTGCCTTAAACCAGTCTTGGACTACTCGGTCACCACCTACAGAACTGAATGAAATTAGAAAATTTGGACCGTTGGATATCAATTGAAGGATGAAAATGTTGGTTATACAACGAATCAGAAAGTATATGTTTTATCTTATTTCCGACTTATGTGATAGATATGTTACTGAGTGTCAGACGACGTTGTTATTCTCACTAACTTAACAGGATATGCATATATTTAGATATAAATTTATGACTATATAGCTTATGCTTTTAGTATATGGACGACAAAAAGCAAATTATACTTTGATACTGCTTTTTCTTTTTATAACAATTCCGTTTATTGTGTAAAAAGCACTCGATTTTGTGCGACTAATGAAGTGATATCAAAGTAAATAAGATTTTGATAATAAAATGAAGATAACATGGATTGTAAGCCCAAACCTAGAAAAAATGGATCAATTTATATACAAAGAAGTTGTTTACTGAAATAGTTGGTGAGGATTTGTTGAGTTAAATACAGTTTGCGTCATAAACTAAAATCAGCTGATGAATTGTTGCAAAACAGGGAATACTAGAGAGCGCTTTCGAGGCACCATTCTAAAAAAAACATGGTAGCCATTGATTCGTTTCTATAAACCAGTCAGTCATGAGCAAAGCACAGGGCGCAATGTATTTGTGCATCGGTTCAATTTGCCACACTATATTAGCACAGCACGATGAAATTACCAAGAAAAACCTTAGAGCAGTAGAATTAGTAACAGTATCAGTGTTCTTAGAAAAAAATAGGAATAGGGAATACGATTCGAGAATAAAAAATTCTTTCATGAAGTAAAAAGTATGCAATAACTTTGAACTCAAGTTCTAGGGGAAAACAGTGTGAATGCATCAACGCTATTACGAACAACCCTAAACTAAGATGAAAAAATCGTCCAATACTTTTTGATTTTAAGTTTTATTTTAACTTAACTCAGTTTAACGAAGACTACCCCCCAAAACTGCCACCAAATGCCCTGGTACGGCCGAGAGTAGGGAGAGTCCGCTCTCCCTCTCGAAATGCTCTCACATAACCACACGTATGTAGTCTCTGCCAGGGAAGTTCTACTCACTGCCTTCTCGTGGCAGAGGTGTTGTTTACGGAATTGAGAGGACGACAAACGAATGTCCGGAGCTTTAACCGGGTTGGTGGACATGAAGAGTCCACCTAGGGGAGTTGGAAAACCCTGATTCCAAACCACTGGTGCACATGGGCTCCAGTATCCTAAAGGAACAAATGGCGTATGAACCAATCGTTTGTCATCGGCTACCATGGGACTGCATCTCCTTACTATGCTCCACTGCCTTGTGGATCAGACCTTCAGGTCGAAGTCTCAGGGTGTGGCCCCCTCAGAAAACCACCTGCTTCGGTTTGGGCACCCAGGCAGTATCACAGTCCTCACACGTATCAAATGAGATTTGTGTGGCGCATATGTATTTGGTGCCTCCTTGTACCAATATCTATGCGTTAAAATAAATAAAAAGAACTAAATTGTATTTTGAGATGGAATCCGTTAATTACATTCAACTAATAAACATTTTATTTTGTTGGTGAAGACGCTTTATCAGTTTTCTCTACATGAATATATGATAGTATTGAGTGTGAAGTTAAATAATTGTAAAGTTACGGATTCTTGAAGTTTGTAAATAATACGAGTTAACTTGAATTATTCAGTGGTCAGCACAGAATTCGAATAACGAATTGATCAAGCGTGAGATTCCAGCAACTAAAGTTTGCATTTGAAGAGTAGACGAAAACTCTGATTAATTAGTATATCATTTTAGAAATAACTTTCAAAATCTATGAAAGTACAGAATATTATTCATCATAACAAACCGGTTAATTTTCCAGCTACACTAGTCCACTTAGAATGTAGTTCTTCAACTGACATGTCTGAAGTTATTTCGGAAATAATTGGTGAAATAATTTGATTTCTCTTATGACTTTTAGATAATTTTGATTCTTTTAGTCGCGATTTATCCTGTCGTTTATTTCGAGTTTTAAACCATCCATTCCAATGTTGTGAACCAGGTTGACCAAATCTAGGCATACCACTTGACCAAAATAATTCCATTTCTAGAATCCGTTGCTCAAATGAACTTTGTTCAATTTCTGTAGGACGAAAACAATTGAATTCAATAACAGCTTGCCATACTGCTAAAGCTCGTTCTGAATGTCCTGCTTGAGCTAACCAATGGCAATAATCAGCCAAGTAGTCTAATTTATGTTAATGAATGAAAAAAGAATATTATTAAATATATTATTTTTGGCACGAAATAGGTATACATATAAAAATAATGACCGAAATAAATGCTTATAACTCTAAGTGTTAAGCGATAATTTAATCATTTTTATTCTGTTGTAAATTATTCATGATACATTTTACTGGTCAGTCACAATTTCGGAAACACAACTTATTTCTAATAAGTTTTTTACTATTTCATCTGTCAATAAATCACAATAACAAATTGTTATAATGAGACAGAAAAATGGTAGAATGCACACATCCATCGGAGTTGTCAAAAACATAAAACAAATATTTAAGATGAACACAATATCTTGACGGAAGCAAAAGGTCAATAGGTAAGTACTTATCATCAAAGACCAAAGATGGTGGTAGACAGCCTTGTCGAACACCATTTGAGGTTGGTGATAATTCGCCATACGCTCTGACTCGACAAGTAATGTTCGAGTAAAGAGCCTTCACAAAGTTTATGTACTTCTGAGGTACACCCTAATCTTCCCGATTACTGCTTATGCTCTTACTACCTGTACCACTACGGGATTTGAATGGACAACTGCATCTCTGTGCTAATGTGGTATGGCAACTTGAACTAATGTACGTACGTACGAAGTTCTACGTTGTTACTGACTGACTGAACAAACACTGCCACAGAACCTCTCGGTCAACAGTCAAATTCTGCTTTTATACATATATACAAATAGCCATATTACTAATTTTGTAATGGAATATGAAACAAAATTTACGTAGCCAATTCTTTCAATAATCTTTGTATCAAAGTGAGCTACGAAATATTAAAATTATAAGATACATTATCGTCAGATTTTTGTCTTTTGGACACAATAATCGCAAAATGAACGAACATACAATTCATTAATCAAACTTTATCGTCTTAAGAGGTCGTCTTACTTTCACTTTCATACACAGGAAGAATTTGTATTCTTAAACGTATCAATTTACTAAAATTACCATTTCCACACAATAACTGATAATAAGCTGGTTCTGATTATTTTTACAGTTCTGACATAATAAAGCAAGCCAAAGCCGGAAGTTCATTACATTTGGTAATATTTTAATTTTTTAAGTGAATTTGGCAATGATATAAATGCAGATGGTTAGTTAAACTACAATCGAAACACTAGTAACTGGAATTCAAAGGGGTTCGAACACATTTTATGTAGCTATAGTTTAGTGGCTTAAGGAATTGGCTTTTAACAAACAGTGAGCAAACTTGCACCCATCAACACATATCTCCATTCAGGTATTAAGCTGGTATTATTATTCATTACATGAAACGTGTATCTTAAACTTGAGCATAAGATATTGTATTTAGTTACCTAGTTTCACCAATTAGTTAACTGACTAGGTAGGGGGATCTATTTAATTTTTAAAAAAAAAGTTAATGAAAGGAAATATTACCGATTGTTCTTTCTACAGTATCTGGTTGTGGTCTATGTGATAATATTCTTCCGGATATTATACCTGATAATGTTGATAGACCTCTCTTATAAACACCATCAATGCGTGAAAATACCCCATTTCCAACTCCTTGATTTATAGTAGTTAATGATGAATTCCGACCCATAAGATGCGCCGTATACCCACGCCACATGGGTACAAGTTGGGGATAAGTGAATACAAGCTGAGCCCAATCCCGATTAATTTGATCTGCCTGACAAACTTCCTTGCTAGATGAAGATTTCGAGGCACCATGAGCTTCAAGTTCAGCCACCAGTTCGTTTGTTTTAATTATGAATAATTTCAATGTCAAATTACCAGGATTAGCCGTAAGAGCTCGATCAGCCATTGATAACTGCTTCTTCAGTATAATAAGTCTGTCACTTTTAGAAAATTTAAAGTCAGAACATAACTGTTTCTGTTCAAAACCAGCACTTGTAATATGTAGAAAAGAAGCTCCTTTGTCTTGTATATCAATTAAATTGAACCACGAAATCAAATCACCTGGTCGATCGTAGACCCGACGGTTAAGTTCTTCACAAAGATTTAAAATATCATTGTTTCTTATTCCCGTTGTTGATGCGCAAGTACTAAGTTCATCAGGAAAACGAATTAAATCTGTCGACATGCCACTTTTATCAGATGACTTGATAACAGTACTAGGACTTTGAATGATTGCCCTGCTTGACTTACTAAAATATCGCGATTTTTTTGTGACTCCACGTTTACGTTTTATTTCACAGCCCAGAAGATCATACAAATATAGATCTTTAAACCCCAATATTCTTGTTTTACTCTTCTGTTTAAATTGTGACACATGTTTTTCATAAATACAACCGTGCTTATAAATTTCTCTGTTACAAGATCGATCAATTCTATATGCATTATTAATATCTAGTCCAGGAATGTCTTCCAAAAATACAGCAGTTGATGTGACTTTCTGATTCTTCTCTAATTTATGTTTTTTAGGAGAAGATGGGCGTTTAACTGATTTCGATTCTCTTCCCTTTTCAGTATTTGCTGCTTCTATAGATAATAGAATAGTAATAATACCATAAATAAAAAGTTCTACCATTCGTATGAACAGTGAGGTTTTGTTTTGAGTATGTGGAGCTCTGAAGCCAAGACGTCTTATCTAGATTTATTTGTAGAAATTATTTACAGAACTTACTGTCAAAAGATCCACTATCGATCTTTGGTTCATCACCAGAATAAGATGCACATGGAAACATTTTTACTTGATTGTTCGGAAATGTAAGCTCTCACGACTTAAAGCAAATGACTTATGCGTAGTCGCATGGCGACATAAACGATTATAAATCCGTCTGAAAAGATAAATAATACGAAGGATGATGAACAAAGCTTCCGGCCACTTACTAATATATGTATACATATATCCTGTATAGTATTTTTCGAATCGTGATCGATTTTAGTAGTATTAATTAGTCAGTCAGCTACAACGTACTATAGTTCTCTTTAGCCTAAACAGGTGAGTATTTTCGTAAGGAAAGCTTGATTTAGCAGCTTTTCATAGTTCAAAATTGTAAGGGTAGTTTTAACAAACCATTTGATTCAGAAGCACCAGACCAATAAAATGATCACCTCAAATTTGAAGATCTTGATACAGTTTCCAAACTTCAGTTGATTAACGTTGAACACAAATACTAAAATAACAAGCTGTCATAACCGTTAGAAAGCTTAAGTTTACAATTATAATGATTATCTTTGCATATGACCGTATTCAAGAAATCAGTTCACTTTCGATCTCTTTTCTTATATCAAAATGTGATTGTAAGATGTATACAAATTTGATGATTACCCATGTATTTGGTCAGATTTTCAACGAGACAGTAACCATACGGGTTGCTAAAACTCGCTGATGACTCCAAACTTTTGATCAAAACTTGTAGTTTCTCTCATCTATGAGGTAGATAATAGGATATCACTCGTGCTCAAAATAACTATGGTTTATAGGCCTGCAAACAAATTTATGAATGGTATTGGAAAGCTGTAGATGACACTTCATTTTTAAATCTAATAAAGGTTTGAGATGTGGTCGATTAAACACCCAAATTTGATACACTTCATCGTTTTTGCAAAGACACAGGTAAAAACTGTTGATTTTAGGGAATTTTATACCAATTGCCATGGGGCGATTACAAAATTTTCATTGTTTATATGAACTGGCATGCTTGAGGATATAAGATAGTCTAAATAGCTTACGCATGAACCTATCAAATTAGTGATTTAGCTAGCCAAGTGTGAAATTTTTAACTAACATACTCAAAGTATTTTGCAGATAGCCTAACAGGCCTTGTCACGTATACCCACATCGTGACTGTGCTTTTTTCAATTCTTACTATACCGGTGAGAGAGTTCTAACACTGATGTCTGGTTGTTCAGACGAGTAACTCAGAACTGACTGGAAACCATTTAAGGATCCATTTAGAATTTTATCGATCATTATTTTAGCTGTCTACCTCAAGTATGCCCCGAATCCGCTTTTATACTAACTTGTTTAGATACTTATTTTTTTAGGCTACTACTCGTAGTAAGTTTAAACGATTAATCGTTCCCATTCATTTTTAATGGATGGCAAATTATGTCATTGTTAAGGAACGTACCAGAATAATTGCATACTGTTATAATAAAGTGGTAAAGTGGTTTGAGTAAATCCCCCAGAAGCTTTATTCGACCGCTTAAGTTAAGAAAATGCTTATACTCAAAGCAAAACTATCGGATAATAACCTACGTAAAAGGAGGCTAAAGGCTGTGTGGTACATGTATATAATTTTCTTGCATAAAGTTTGAGATAAAGTTGCACCTGAAAAATGAATACTGGTTGTCAAACTCTATCGTTATAACCAAATAAATCATGAGTAACTAGTTTTTGTTGCACACTCACTGTTTGGCAATTAAATTTTAGCGAGCGACCAGTGCTTTAAGACTGGTGTTCTTGAACTGAGTTTGGTCACCAACTAGATGAATCAAATAAGTTACGTAAACATACTATTTTCCCAGCATTTTGCATGGTTAATGTACATTAGTATGGGGTAATTCATGTAGTACAAACACTGATCCACAGATGTCCAGATTTTCATTACACGAAGGAATCAGACAAAAACCACAAAACAGAAAAAAAGTAGATTGAGGAATAGACTATTATTCTCGGACTTGAAGCTTCTTTGACATATGACGGTGTACAACGACAAGACGTTGAAATCAGAAACTAACATGAATCAAATATGTAGCCACTAACTTTAGTTGGGAGCATTATCAACGAAAATATGCACAAGGAAGAAACTATGCACTGTCAAAACTCAAAATGATTTAAAGATTGGTGAACCTAATGTTTAGGTACATTGATAGTACATAGTAAAAATATAGAAACTTTAAGCCCAATTGCTTCTAAACGATCAACCTTAAATTGATGTTCCTCGCTCTGTGAGTTCTATCTACATGCAAAGCGTTTGCTGAGGAACTTATTGTAGCAGCCTTTAAAAAATAGGAACTGAATTCAAGTTTAAGGGACTGAAGAACAACTTCCTTAGAGCTCTATTTAAAATCTCTAATAAATTTCTGGCGTGACTTATATGACTTAAAGCATTCACATTTCAATACTACGTATGGATTGATAATACTACTGGTTAAGGAATGTGATGCTACAACACATAAATATTATAATCTGTTGATTTCCCGCGTTATTTAAAAAGGACAGAAGTGTTTTTTGCTGGGCAAATTTAATTGTTTTCATCGTTTATTACGTACCAAGACTACTGAAAAAACCGTATCGGAATATGAATCTAATTGAATATATTTCAGTTAAAGTATTCGCATAGAGTATAGTTTTTATTTCCAAAGTGGTATATCGTCGGTACTTCTGAGTTCTCGTGTTTATTTTATTCGTTAGCACTTTTGGTTCTAACAATCTACGGCTTTCCACTTTTTTTTCATCAATTTCTTTTGTCTCTGGGTATTATCACATCTAGTTTATTTTTGAAGACTTATGTTTGATGGTTGGACAATGCCAGAAAAACAATTGCCAACGATCAGGCTGTCGCTACCCCACACAAGACGGCGAGGCTATAATTCACTCATCCATCTGGTTATATAGAGTTTCGGTATTGTAACTTATGTCAGTTCGTGATGAAAACCCTAAATCTATTTTCTAACCTTAAACATCAAGTGTAGATCATAATTCTAATTCCCCACACTGGTTTATAACCCTCATTTTGACGTAGTCATTAGGCGGACACTCTAAAGTTTGGTCTAGCTTCGCTCAAAGGTCGTCCACAAATCATAGTCTCTCCTGGGAATCTCGAACTTACCAAGTGACCTTCCAAGGTTGTAGTTTAAATTAGCCTCGCAACCAGTAGGACGTTAAATGGTTCAAATGGTTGTGGACGGCATAGAAGAAGCTTTCGCTTAACGGGCTTCCATGTCTAGTAGCAATGAGTCACCAATACCTCCAGGCAGGAAACTAGGTGTATTAACGATAACAGAAGAAAAAGAAATTGGTAAATCATAATAAGATATCCTTAGTGCTTAAGAATAGGTCAAGTTTCGTCTTAAAGGACTCCTGAGAAGTCGCTTGGAATAGCCAAGACGGCAGTGAATTCCAGCATTTGACAACCTCTAAGGATCAGTAGTTGTGTCTACAGTCCGTTCTCTTGTGTTTTGTCTCCTGCTTCTGGGTGTTATCCTTAGGTTTGTGTTGGAGCTAAGTATCTATTTAAGTTTAGCTCCAACACAAACCTAAGGGGTAATACCCAGAAACTAGAGACAGTTGGATTCATTTAATAATTGTTATACAATGTTTTCAGAGTATCTGATAATAGTTTTTGCGTACGTCTGAGTCGAGAACTTCAGGATCATTGTGTAGAACTGGTTATAAATATGATTCTGGCTTAGCACACCTAAATGGTTGGCCTAAACAGCGATCCAATAGACACTTCCTCTGGTTTCACAGATGAATGTATGCCTTCAACGTCAAAATTGGAAAAGGCTGTTCTAGAGAAGATTTCGGTAAACAATCACTTGTGCCGATAAAACGGGATGGTAAGGACTCGACAAGGTATGGATACTCATTGATGCTTCTTCGTTGTCTCTGCCTGCGTTTCCCCTGATCTCAACTCGGATGAAGAATGTAAATCTTGCGGAAAGCCTTCCACCTCCCTTTGAAATGCTAGCTGCGCATATGTGATGGATCTTACGGTGCTCAACTCGGCGAACAATTAACGGCAAACATCTTTTGCAATTGTGTTCAGATAACTGTTTATTTCTGACAAGCACCAATTTTAAGCATATGCGTTAGCGCCTATGGTACTTTGGTATTTGCCATAACACTTTGATTTCATCGTGCAAACAGATGTGTAAACTTGAGTCAATATACGCACATACCAGGTTTCTTCATGCTGTTTTTGACTAACTGAACTATTTTTTGAGCAAAAGGATTGACATGGAGTTTGTCAAGCACCTTGCTAGGTAAAAGTGTGACCATGTCAAATGAGGTAGACAGCTTGCAGTTTGCAAGTCAGTTCAGTTCACCATAATGTCACTGATCACTGAATAGTGAATACGTAACACGGAGTAGCCCATATGATTTGGTGTGGATGTTTGACCGAACAACTTCAGCTAGGATGTGTCCAGTTAAACTAACGAGGGCAGCATTTACGTTAAAGACTTACAAGACCACTTATTTTCGTGATTTATTTACTGCTACAGGTCAATACCTACTGTTGGGGTATTGGTGAAACCAGAAGTTTAAACGTAATGAGCTTGCCGTTGGTAAACACTTTTCTGATATTCTGCCATGTCCAGAAGCATATGGTTGTTTTCCCGCGATGCAAGGAGCCATGCAGTAAGATATAACAATTAGAAACTTCCAATGAAAAGTTCGATTCATCCTATCGCTCACCGGGTTTTTATCTTCTCCATTCATCTTGGAAAAGGAAAAAACGAAAGTGTATGTAGATGTCAAAATGCAAGGAAACAAAATGTGCGTTAAAACTCAGCATGCACGAGCCTGTGTACCAAGCGATAGCATGAACAACTTACGCACAGAAAGTATTCTTGTTTTTTACTTATATATAACCATAATTTAAACACATAATGTTGCGTCTAAGTTTTGATCTTGTCCGTTATTGGGGCACAATCAATTGATATACTAGTAACTTACGACCCCAAAACAACAATATATTCAAATTTCAATTCAGTTACAAAAATTTATCCACAAATTACAAGTTATCAACCCATATATATGTCGTTATAATAATGAGTATAACAATTACAAAACAACTCTTCAGTTTTTAGACATCAAGACCAAAAGCTTCCAAAATATCAAACCGAAAAGTGAGTGTAACCAAAATGTTCAAGGTCAAAGATATTAGCAAATGAGATCAAACGTTAAATAAAACAAATACACGCGAAACACAGTGAGATTATAAATATTAAATATAAAAGTTTTTAATTGATCAAATATCTTCAGTCTCGCAAACTATAAGCATATTAGATAAAGGCTCTCTTTCTTGACACGATGATATGTAAAAGAACTCCGGACGAAACTTTGTGGTTATGTAGCACGAAGAGCGGGACGAAACGAAAATCATGTACTTTGAAAGCCCTATTGTCACTCTAGAGTTCGTTGCTTTTTAGCCGGTTTGCATTTTCTAGCGAAGTTTTGCCGTGGTCGTCAATTATCGGGAATGTTGCCTTTCGATTTTTCACGAGAAAAATAAACATAATAAAAGTTTCCTTCCAAATAGGCGGCTTTAAAACGGTCAGTGCTGGAGTTGTCGTCAGTTTGTTCCAATGGCGGTAGAGTAATTATCATTTCGAATGTGGACTTCGAAGTATCCATCCTGTGCCGTTTCAATGAATCGCGACGTACCAAAACGTCGAAACGAGCGTCGTGTGCTCCTTACCAGTATCCTTCTGTTTTATTCGTAGTTTCTGGGTTCCCAAAGACAACTTCGGCTGAAGGTCAGCGTTTTCCTCTAAAAAATGGGCAAGTTTAGGACTGTTGATGCATTGGGTGCAGTTCAAGGCAGTTATACGAAACAGTACGTCTGTAACTGCACAACCTGCTCCAAAAATGTGTTGTATATCTGAAGTTGATGAGCCTTCTAACTGAGCGCTTGAACCGATCTTTTAAGCTCTTCGAATATCCCCAAGCTAACTCTGCACGACTAATTGAGCATGATGGAAAAGGGGTGAAATATAGAAAAAAAGCATTACCACAAGGTGTGTTTATCTACAGTGGATTGAGGGTACTTACGGCATTTTCGACGATTTCGAGCTTCCGGAAAGTTCTGAAACCCTACCAAGTACAGCAGCAGATGGGCAACCATCCAGTCAGAATTATGACACACGACCCTTTACTTTCTAGATATCTCCAAGAGATTTCTATTCAATTTTGATTGGATAAAATGCTTCATAGGATTTCAAAGGTACCTTTTATCTTTTTCGATGAATGTTATGGGTCTTCTCAACAGTAACAAATGTGGGATGTGACGTGGTTGTAGAGACTCTTGAGTGAAATGCTTGTCCAAAGACGAGCTAAGAGAGAAGGTAAGGGTTTTAAGGTCAGTAAACACAGTTTACCTTCGACCTGCTAAAGTCTCATACGACACAATACATGGCTAGAACTCTCTTGACGAGCGTTTCTCGCAACTCTCTTGAGAACAATGATCAAGTTTGTTAGGTGTTGGTTACCAATCGTAGCAGTAATCCACCAGTTACCTAGTTGGATGCGTCTATGGAGATACTAATTAGGTTCTTTGATGTCATAGTGTGTGAGCAAAGTTGCGTGTGTGATAGTTTCTTTGATTGTGGAGCGTGCTGTTGTTCAACCGTGAGTATCTGTTTGGCTTCGGTCGGTTCCCGGTAAGTCATATTGGCTGCCGCTTCACTTTGTAGTAGGAGAATACCTAAAGCGTCAATAGTTTGCCCGAGAAAATCGAGGGATTTAGCTCCGACTTGATATTTCTAAATGTCTACCCAAATGCCATGCTTTTGAAGTCGTTTAAAAACAATGGCCAGGTGCAGAGGATGAGATTCTCTGCCACGACCTACTATAAAAAAGCCACGAACATATGTGCGTACAAATTTAGTTTCCATGAATAAGTCATCGACGAATTTCTGAAAAGTTTGGAAACGACATCTGTAGCTAAAAATATTTGGATTCACGGTTGAATCAAACCCATTCTTGAGAAAACAATCGTACTTTTTAAGGTAGCTATCAGGTTGTGGATGTGTGGCAAGGGGTGAAATTCAGGAGCGGTTTGAGCATCAAGTCTCTAATAATCACTAGTTGGGCAACAAGTATGTACTTTTAAGAGACCATATGCTGGTGAGATGCTCATGGGCTGTTGGATGTGAGATACGTTTCACGTCCATCATACACACGAATTCATAATCGACTAATCTTGGCTTTTTGGGACCTAGTTTAAGCGCTGTTCAATCTTCAGTAGTAAGGACCGAAGGTCTATCGATTTATAATAATCCTTGCAGTTTGTAGCACTGTGGAGGATCAGTCTCGTTCTAAATATATCGATAAAAGGTGCTGATATGTTTTGGTAGGGAATTCCAGTAATTCACTAATCGGTGCAAGAAACAAAATTCCAAACGTCAACGATATGACCTCGGTTTTTAAAATTTCTTAGAATGTCCTCTCAGATGATCAGTCCTAGACGGAAGGGAAAGATAAGACATATTAATACCAAGGTCATCGTTCGTTATACAATAAGCCAATATTTGATCACCTCGTAATCTACGGTAAGATAAAGGGAATAAGTTGTTGTATCAGTCTGTCTTGATCAGATAGGCCAGAGAGATCTACCGTTTTTACCCTTCGTCATTGGACTCGTTCTAGCATATCCGCCTCGTACTTGAAACAAGGACCCGTTGCTCGAATCCCATATTCCAAATGCGGTCTCACGAAAGTCGGGTATTATAATCTCAACATTTTTTAGTCCAAATACTGAAATTTTATTTATTTATTTTTCAACACATAAATGTTGGTACAAAGAAGCAACAAATACGTGTGCGCCATATGTCACTTGATTTGTGAGTAGGCTGTGATATTGCACGGGTGTCCAGACCGAAGCAGGTGGTGTTTTTAGGGTGCCACACCTGAAGCGTTTGACATCGATGTCTAATGCCCTTCTACATAATTTATAGCAGCCATCCGAATAATCTCTCCATTAGTTTGACAGCTACACTCGTTAGACTAACGGGTCGATAGTTATTGAGTCTCTGTTCCCCGCTCTATACATCAGACTAATCATTGGGTCTTTCCAGTCTCTTGGCAGTCTGGCCTGCCTCGGGCATATT